CTTTCCTGACATAAATACCAAAGTAAAATCGCTGTTTGTGTCACAGGAGTCTGGTGGCTTTGGTGAGAGCGATATAAAAGCTTCAGGTTCCCGTCAGAAAGAGGGCTGCCTGATGGTTCGTAGCTTAAACTGATATTGATTTTTATGTTTTCACAGCAATGCATTGTTGTTCCATGCTGGTACTCCTGCACTTCTCCTGTAAGTACCTCATTACAACCCTGCTTCAAAAAACACACTGGATTTAAAAAGGCTACAGATAATCACACCTCTGTTATGTGTTTCAGTGCCAAAAGAGCAATAAAAAAAAAAAAAAAAAAAAGGGTGGATTTGGGTCGTATGCCAAAGCTCAACATGCTGTGCTTGGAGTCCTTCAGTGAGTCGTGCTCATGGAAACACATTTGGAGTCGAACCAACAGGATTCTTCCATCACACAAGCTGATTTTTAAGCCAATAACAGGCTGTTCTGACACTTTATTATGTATTATTACACGAACAATGAGAACTACGCGCTAACACTCACAGCTCCAACACTCCAGTCCATAAAGCAGTTAGTTCATCGACGATATTGAAACATTTGCTGGAGCCGAGGTGCTTAAACGGGAGGATTTTTGCTGCTGTTCTTTGTTGTATTTGATAGTCGACTGAATATCTGTTGGTTTTAGAGTGTCGCTCGAACAAAACAACCACTGTGAATGTGTTTATTTGGGTTCTGGGGAATTAAAACAGCAAATGTTTCACAGTTTTCTGACATTTTTACCGACTAGTGGTTCTCAACCTGGGGTGTTTTATTGATTAGAAGTTACCCAATGAGAGAATGTATAAGAGAGATTATTCTATCTGTAGGTTAATCTACAGTATATTAGATTTATTACACAGGAAGACTACAGCTTATCAAACACTGAGTCTGTGGGCCTGATGTGTATCAATCCGGGGTTTCTAGACACCAAAAAGGTTGAGATCCACTGTAACTGACTAAAGGTTTCATTTATATACTGAGAAAATAACCAGCACATGATTCAAATCATTTAAATCCTCCTTCGTTGCAGCCCGACATCGATAACAAGATACGCTCTTTAAGTGTACTAACATCCCTTTATAACAACCACACTTTCAGAAGAGCTTACACAGACACAAAAAGGCAGAAGGAAATCTAGACTGGACTCTACTTACACAACAACCGCTGTCTTATTGCTACCGCAGCTCTTTCATCATGACATATACTTCCTGTTTATGTTTAACATTTCTGCAATCTCAGTGGGGTTTTAATGTGGAATCAAACTCTGTCTGCTTCTTTAAAGTACTCCAGAAGCTGCCTTGTGTCCTCACTGTAATCCCCCCGAACACAGATCCTGACCTCCTGACCTCCTGAGTGAGTCAACCACTTTATTCCAGCAACTACTTCAAGAGCCATTTAACATCTCATACCTTTATCTAACATGTGTTTGGGAGATGAAATCCCGTTTCAGGCATGTTTGAATCTTCTGGTGGGACTTAAAGTCGGTCGCCTCCCTGTTGTGACTGCGTGTCCTGACTTGTACCAACGCAGTTAAACATCTCAAAGGGAATATGGAGCTTAGGGTTCCTCCTGCTCGTCACGGCCAGTTTAACCAGTTCCTGTTCCCATCAAATACAATGAAGCTGTACAATATAAATAACAGCTTTATTATATTTAGTTCTTGTTTTCCTCTGTGAAAACAACTGTATTGTGTCTAAAGTGCTACATAAATAAAGTTAAGACTCAGAAACCAACTGCCTGGTCTCTGTGTGTCAGTTAGTTTAAGGTAATATAAAGAAAAACAACTTTATTTAACTATATATAATCAAAAATATACTTCAGATTTGGACGTAGACATTGTACATTAGTGGTGGAAGTTCCCAGATAATATTAAAGGTGGTAGAACGAGCAGAAAGAAGGAGGCACGCAGTGAATGTGGCCGCTGCTGCTGTTGGTGATTCAGCCTCATTTACCATCGATTGCTCCACACAGACACATCGACAACTCGACTGACGCTCAGAAAACGCTGCAGTTAGTTCAAAGATATATATTGATCCATGCCGTATCAATACGCAGTGCGTTTAAATTTAGAGGTGATTGATTAATTGTTTACGGACCGGATGTGAATCTATGGATTGCAGCACTTTTCTAAAAGTGGAAATCACAATAACTGAATTAAACGGGTAATGATTGATTGATATAAGACTTGATATCAAACGTATGGCTGCAGGACTCGGTAATAAAACATATTATAGCAATTTCAGTATGAGTCAGGATTAATAGGAATTATTTTTAACAATCACAGTTTTAATTTTCACCGATAAAAGCCATTAAAATCAGGATGATGTGACATTTTTTTGAGTCTGCAGCTCTACACTACTTTATTATAATATATTTTTATTATTTTACCTTTATCAGAAATTTGCAGCTTCTGTGATTTACATATTGCACTTATTGCATTCAAACATTTAGATTCTTTTAATTGTGCAGCCTTCATTAAATTCACATTAAACCTTAAACCAGACATTAGATCTATTCTATTCATATATATTTCAGCGTAATATTAGAAAACTGTGATAACCAACAGCCCAAAACTATACATTTTACTATTATATAAGCAGCAAATTCTACATTTTACTTCACATTTTCCATTTAAAGGATAATTATAAAGATAATCTGCTGATTTTTAACTATATGTGACTCCATTATTTGGGAATATTTAGTGGTTTGTGGGTGGTGCAGTCCAATGTACACAGATAACTGAATAACACAGGAACATAGCCTTTAATTTCCCATTTTCTATAACTTCTCATTCATTTGTTTACAGAATAAAAGAGTTATTATTGTTAACAGCTGACACTGAGCCCTCCTGTATGAATGATAAAATATAATAAAAGGCACATAAGAAGAGGAAACTGCACATATTTGAGTGATTGTTTGCAGCTTTGCCTCCTTTTACCTGTAAAGTCTTTAACAACAAGAGATTAACTCCAGCTGACGTTAGCCGGCGTTAGCTCGCTTTAAAGTCGCTACTAAACCACAATAAACCGCAAAACCACGCAAAACCACGCACAGCAGCGGAGTGAAAAAAACACGCTGGTGTGTTTTTAACCCGATAATAAAACCCACACAGGTGTGAAGGAGAAGTTACAGACGGGCCCTGAGACTGTTTGACAGGTGTTAGCTCGTCGTTAGCATCGCTGCGGGTGCACGTTACCTTCTCTATCGGCGCGTGCTGGTGAGCCGCGAGCGACCGAGCCAGAGACAGCACGGTGTTAAAGTAAAATCCTCTGCTTCCTCCTCCATCCAGAGACATGGCTGCTTTATATGAAGCCTTTAATGCTGCCACACAAACATCTTCCTCCGTTCGTCCCGAGGAGGAGCAACGAAAGTCCGCACTGGCAACTACGGCGAGCGCAACGTCCCAAACGGCGCACAGCAAGGTCACAACGCAAAACGCGAAGTTAGTGCACGAGAGAGAGAGAGAGAGAGAGAGAGAGAGAGAGAGATCCCTGTGTCTAATTATAATGAGACATTTATCTAAAAATATTGATTTGGCATCTTAATTGAGAAATATTTTGAGATACTGAGTCCAAATATTGAGAAGGTTTCTCTATATTTTGCGATTTTAAGTCATTATTTTAAGATATTAGGTAATTATTTAGAGATACTAAATCCAAATATTGAGTTTATTTAAGATACTAAGCCAAAGATTTGAGAAAGTTTCTCTATATTGAGATATTAAGACAAAATATTGACTTAGAATCATGATTGAGAAATATTTTGAGATACTAAGTCCAAATATTGAGAAGATTTCTCTATATTTTGGGATATTAAGTCATTATTTTGAGATGCTAAATATACTTAATGAAAATATTGAGTTTATTTAAGATACTAAGCCAAAGATTTGAGAAAGTTTCTCTATATTGAGATACTATGTGATTATTTTGAGATACCGTGTCAAAATATTAAGAAAGTTTCTCTATATTTTGCGATTTTAAGTCATTATTTTAAGATATTAGGTTATTATTTAGAGATACTAAATCAAAATATTGAGGTACTTAGTCATTACTTTAAGATACTAAGCCAAAGATTTGAGAAAGTTTCTCTATATTGAGATATTAAGTCAAAATATTGACTTAGAATCATGATCGAGAAATATTTTGAGATACTAAGTCCAAATATTGAGAAGGTTTCTCTATATTTTGCGATTTTAGGTCATTATGTTTAGATATTAGGTAATTATTTAGAGATACTAAATCCAAATATTGAGTTTATTTAAGATACTAAGCCAAAGATTTCTCTATATTGAGATACTATGTGATTATTTTGAGATACCGTGTCAAAATATTAGGAAAGTTTCTCTATATTTTTTGATTTTAAGTAATTATTTTAAGATATTAGGTTATTATTTAGAGATACTAAATCAAAATATTGATGTATATTTAAGATACTAAGCCAAAAATTTTAGAAAGTTTCTCTACATTGAGATATTGACTTAGAATCATAATTGAGAAATATTTTGAGATATTAAGTCCAAATAATGAGTAGGTTTCTCTATATTTTGGGATATTAAGTATACTAAATCAAAATATTGAGTTTATTTAAGATACTAAGCCAAAGATTTCATAAAGTTTCTCTATATTGAGATACTATGTGATTATTTTGAGATACTATGTCAAAATATTAAGAAAGTTTCACTTTATTTTGAGATATTAAGTCATTATTAGTATAGTTTCTCATTATAATGACTTACTGGACCTTGTTTTTTAATCACGTTGACAGTAAAACATGAGACAGATAATCAAATAATAGATAATAATTGTTCTAGCACTCATTGTAATTGTACTTTAGCAGAAGAACCCACTGCATGTGAAGACAACAACAACAAACATCTTCTTTCATCCGTCCTGAGGAGAAGATCCACACGCAAACCATGAGGATTATAATCCTTAAAGTAAACACAAACCACAGCAGGATAATAGCTGAAATGAACACGACAATATTAACAGTCTGATCCAAGGTTTTATTTGTGAGCGTACATGTTAGAGTTAATTAGACTGAAGGCACAATACTTGGTTTTAAAGCTGCAGCAGGTCATTTTTATTTAAAAAAAAAAACCTTTTCTCATATTTGCTGAAACTTTCACTATATCCTGAACCATGGAAGCACTTTTCCACCAATGTAACGGGGAAAAAAGAATTAAATAAGTCATTTTAATGAGAAACTTTCACAAAATATTGATATTAAGTTATAATTTCGGTAAAGTTTCTCATTGTAATTACTTCCCCCCCCCATATTATTAACAGAAATGGACTTCTATACCTGACAGAAGTACATGAGACAGATAATCTGTGAAACACTGCTAACGGCATTTACAAAAATCCACTGCATGTGAATAAAAACAACCAATCAGAGCCATGAAAGATAGTTTATTAATGAGTCTCATTCTTGTAAATCCTATCAGGAGCACCAGGAGGAGCCAGAGGAACCGGATATTACCTGTCTCATGTTCTCCTGTCAGAAAACAGTGAAGTTATTTTTTTATAAAAGTTCCCTCCTGCAGCTTTAACTACTGGAAATCTGTCATGTGTTAATAATAAAACTCCACAGATATTTAAATAGCTATTACATTGGTCTTACGTGTACGTTAGGTCGGGTTTGAAGCTCAAAAGTAAACATTTGTAAAAACAAATTAATTGCATTGCATGTAAACGTGCCGGACTCACAAGCCACAAACTTCAGTCTACAACATGGCAATATATATATATATATATATATATATATATATATATATATATATATATATATATACATATATATATATATATACATATATATATATATGAGCAGCAGTTGGCACATTGGGTCATCAGTTGGTGTAAAAAGTAAAGGCAATTCATGTTACATAGTTAAAAATTAAACACAAATCTGCAATAAAAAGCTTTCCTAACCCACTCGTCCTCCATGGAATGAGATGGAAGGCACTATTAGAGGCATTTCTACGCAATAAAGGCAATTTAAAAGCAAAAAAAAAGAAGATATGAACATCTCAGAAATACCTCAGAAACTGCCTGGAATTAAACACGTGTGTGCAACTGAGTACATTAATAAAAAATAATATCTGTAGTGACTAAGTACACACAACATTCAATCATTCTTAATCTCAAAAGATCTCAAAATGAATCATATCATACATAGGCACTTTTTTTCTCTATAGCAACAAATCTACTAACGTTAATTGATTTTAAACATCTCTGCAGTCGACCACTGTTTCTGTGGAAAATGTGCATTTCTAAATAATTCATATGCAACTTAATTAAAAAAAGAAAAGAAAACTGCATCTGTGTGGGTCACCACAGTCTTGATTAATGTGTTTTAAGGCATTTAGTTGTTAATGTACCTATAGCCTCTGCAGCACGTGACATCTAAATATAAATTATTTTCTCAGCTAGTGAATGAAATTATGGTTTTGAGAAGAAAAAAACCCAAATACTTGCACATAAAGGGGTTTAAAATGTTAGATCTCTGGTATAATCTCTCATTTCAAGTATAATTTCTCTTTCTACAGTGTCTAAATCACATTATGTTGGGTCATTGGGCATTGGTTTCTCTTTGATTAAGTACGTACAGCATCTCTAGTCAATCAGATCTGAATAAAATGCCCCCGTGTTCCTTTCCCTGAGATCTTTAAAGGAACTTCCACCACTTTTTCTGGAATTAAAGAAAACAAAAAGAGTGTGAAAAAAAGTGTGAAGCACTGACTGCAATCTGGAGGCCGCTTCCACCTGTAATAGCTGTGGTACAAATAAAATCAAGAACAAACCGATCCCTTTCGGTCTCTCTGAAGATCACTTAGAGGTAGATATTAGAACCTAGAAGCAGGGTTTTTTTGTTTTTAAGGAGATTATGGTTTTGGGACTTTGGGCCTGGTTAATAATGTGAGCGGCCTTGTCCCAACTGGTCCTGCTCATGTAGCACCAGGAGAGGGGGGGGGGGGTCTCAGTCCGTCTTCCAGACTATGTTCAGGACCTTCACAACTTCCTCGTAGATGATGAAGACTATGGCCACGTCCATGCACACCCGGCCCAGCCGAGGAACTGTACCTTTGTAGAACCTGAAAGGGACGAAGGGAGAGAGTGAATGTTCACGCAGCCAGGCACACGACTGCAGGTGACATTGATAACCAGCCAGTTTTATTATATATATCCTTAATGGAACATTTTACAGTTAATTAATTACAGTTAACTACATTTCAGCTAAAGTTGTCAGTGGTCTTTAATGGACAAACTATGTAACAATGACACTAAATCTAAATGATCATATCTTTGATATTTCTGTTTATATAATCTCAGCCGATACCGACAATAACGATATATTTGTGATTAGTTAATATCAGTTAAACACTGACTTCCTGTCTTTATGCTAAGCTAGTTGACATATAGACAATTCATATTACTGCTCAATTATCCATTTGTGAAAGTGAATTCTTTAAAAAGGTATATGAGCTCCAACTGTCTGTATTATTATTATTATTATTATTAACAAATAAAACTTACGCCCTCGGTCCCTCGTGCTTCATGATCTTGACGGCGCAGTCCATTGTGCTTTTGTACTTGTGAGCTTCGAGTCCCTGTTGATAATAACACACATACGCACACGTTAGTTACACCTGCTCGGGAGTTAAACTCTACGAGACTCTGAGCTGCGAACGCGACATTCAGCCGACCTGCATTCTGGTTTTAATGACATCCAGCGGAGTGTTTCCAAACACACTGACGGCACCAGCAACAGCTCCAAACAGTCCAGTTATCAGAGGGTTAATAGCTTTGTTGGGGTCATCACCTTAATGTTAAACACAAGAGATGATTATTTTTTGGCTGCATTAATGGTTGTTTGTGGTGATTATGTTATTATTCATCCACTCACACACCTTTGTACCAGTTCCTCAGGGAGGTCATGACGTAGAAGCGGATGGCCTGGTTGGAGCCCTGTTTCAACACGGTGGCTGTTAGGCCTTGATAAGTCCCCTTCAGTCCTGAAGACGCAACAGATTAATGAACCTTTCCAGAATATTATCCTCTAAATAATGCATGCGATGACTCAGATACATGGGAAATGGTGCAGGGCTCGGTATGTGTTGGACAGCAGGTGGCAGTAAAATGCAACAGACGGATGGAGAAACCCTCTTTACCTTCAGTTCTAACAATCTCCCTCACACCGTGGAAGAACCCCTTGTACTTTGGGTTTGCCGACGTCTGATCGTGGATGAATTTGACCTAAAATGAAATGTTTAAATGTTTGTCAGGCTCAATACAAAATAAACTAATGAATGTGTGTTTAATAAGTCTGTTTTTTTATACCTTAACAGTCTCCATGGGACAGACGACGAACACAGCCTCCGCCACTCCGGCGCCGAGGCCACAGAGGAATCCTCGCTTACTGTCCAGTTTACCGTTTTCATCTCTCATCTTATTGCTGAGGAACTCAAACACCCCAAATCTGCAGAAGTTAATGGAGAGTAAAACAAATATTAATGACTCAAAGTACTATAAAGTAGCACTTTATTAAAGATCCTTGCTGTTGTGGCTTTGCTTACGGTTAATAGATAACTGGCTGAGGTTTCATTGATGTGTAAGCCTTAATAAAATAATAACGTTAATAGCTTTTGGGTTGCCAGGTTGTGGAGTTGTTGGACCATTAAAAAATCTATTTATTAATAAATTATTAACATTTCCAACTGTAGACTTGATGGATTAAAACCTCTTTATTAAGTAGAAAGCAAGTAATAAACCCATCTACTAATGAACTACATTATTTCTAACTGCATTAAAGCTGTAGCGATTTATCAATTAATCAATTAGTTGTCAACTATTACATTTATTTCGATAATCAATTAATTGTTTTGAGTATTATTTAAGAAATTATGTCTAAATTCTCTCCTTTCAGCTTCTTAATTGTGAATATCTTCTGGTTTCTATATAATATCTTTGGGTTGTGGACAAAACTTTGAGCTTTATGAAACATTTTTCACAATTTTCTGACATTTTATCAACCAAACAGCTAATCAATTAATCCAGAAAATGATCCACAGATGAATCGATAATGAAAATAATCATTAGTTGCAGCTCTGAACAGCATTATTACCAAATAGGAAGGATGAACAAAAAAATAATAATTGATTGATTCAATCATTTATGCTACTTTCCTTATATTTACTGAACAAACAATTCATTGATTAATTGAGGTTTAGTTGCTGCTCTGGTTCTTTGACTTATAACTCCTCTATAAGGCATCAGTAAATGATTTATTTCTCCAATTATAAACTGTTAGAGATGCAATTAACTAATTAATTTAATTATTGATTAATCTATGAATTTATTTTAGATGAATCGGCTGTTAAAAAATATCAGAAAATAGAGAAAAATGTTTTAAAATAGCTTTTTTTCAGACTAAGAGTCCAAAAATTCAAAAAATATATTCAATTTATAATGATATAAAATGATATAATGATTAATCAACTACTGACATTTTCTGCTCTAGCTCCACAACTTACAGTACAAACACTTTATAAAGGGTGTGTTTAGGCGTTTACAGGTGTGTGAGGTTGGAGGGTTGCAGTACCTGACAGCTGCTTTAGGTATAGAGCCGTACAGCAGTGAGCTCAGCCCCCTGTAAAGACCCCTCACCCCATGACTGTTCACCGTCTGCTTCACACAGTCGCCTGCAGGAGACAGAGAGGGGAAGAAGAAACACTGATTTAATGTCGCACCAGTATCAAAAGACTGCACCAGTGCCAAGATAAAGCGTACTGTGTGTCATCGCAGTACGCTTTATCTTGGCACTGGTGCATCAGCTGCTGCTTTGTTTTTTTTTAAAAAAACAGGAAAGTTGTTAAAAGACAGATCTTCGGGCGCTACATGTCGTTCTGCAGCTCATAACAACGAGTTTCCACAGACAAACACGGTTTGTGCCAAAGTTCACAAGCTCCGGTTGAACAGATAACAAATACTAACTCACTGCACAAATACACAATCTGTTGCTTCATGTTCGCGCTCAAATCTGAGAGACTTACTGCGGACTCTAAAGGGAGCGGTGGCATCGATACAGCGGCTCATTAAATCAACATAAACCATCCAATGTTTGAGTTATACCTTTAACCGAGTAGGTTTGATGATGTTCTGTTATATGGGATTCCACTCTTTGTAAGAAATCATTTTCCAGGGAGTTTTCTTGACAATACAGGACAGCACTTGCTCACAAACGCTCATATAATTTAGCAGTTTGGCTCCGTTATAATTTTAAGGGGTGTAACGCAGAAGGCCTACATTTCAGCATTTGGTTTACTTCTGTGAAGTCAATAGTCTAATAGAACAATAGGAAAGTGTCAGGGGAACACAGAATTTGTCCAAAAAAAAGCCTTTTAAGTCTGTATGATTGTTAAAAATGATGAAAAATACAAAATACAGACAGAGAATTGTATATAAAGTTCCCTAAACAGGAAATAATCTGCTCAACATTCATCCAAATCTCTCATTTTACACAAACTTCCTGCAGTTACTGAGTTCACTGTTTGGGTTCATTGTTCAGTTTTTACTGTCACTTGTCAGTTTATTAATTATAGAAAATGGGTCCCTATAAGGAAAAAGGTCAGGATCCACTGCTGTAGGCAATCTGACTGACGGGATGTTTCCATGACTGGAAAACTAGTCACTAATTTTCCAGACATTCCAGGTTTTCCAGGGCGTGTGGGAAATGTGTTATATCTATAAAATACATCACAGTTGTCCGGGTTAGAACATTCAAAAGGCCTAAACTTATTTCCACTGTTGTCGTTGGTGTGTTTATACAGTCAATGTCTGACATTTTCAAGAAATATTAGAAAATAAGTATATTTAAAAAGGTCCAGTGTGTGGGAGTTAGTGCCATTTAGTGGTGTAGTTGCAGATTGCAACTCCCTCGCTTCACCGTCCCTTTCCAAATGTGTGAAAAACGCACATTTGGAGCCGATTTAGAACGATTCTAAACTTATGTACTTTAACTCTTTAACAAAGGTTAACATGAGGTACAAACTACTTAAAACGTTGTTAATATAGTTCAAGGAGCAGATATTGTGTATTAAAAAGTAAAATATAATTAGCTTTTACAGGTGAACTTAATAAAAAGGCCACAGAGGGAAACTTTATTATCGTCACACGTGGTAAAAGCAGTAAAATCCAAACAGACAGCGATCACAAACTCACTGATGCCTTTGTATTTGGGAGGATTTGCCTTCTCGTCCAGCTGCAGCTGTGTTTTAACGTACTCTGTGGGGAAGGTGATGCAGATCTCTATACCTCCGGCTATCCCTCCTGAAATAACAGAGAAAACACTCCATGAGTCAGAACGTTTCCTCCGTTAACAACACACACACACACACACACACACACACACACACACACACACACACACACACACACACACACACACACACACACACACACACACACACACACACACACACAAACTGCATCAACACAGCAAACCACAACCAATTATCTTCATCTAATCTACTTTACACATTCATATATGTGTTACTTTGAATACTGTTTAATATCCAGTAGATTTAATGAGAACATTTTATACTTTTACAATCAAATACAATGACACTGTCCTGCATGTTCCCACAGTATCTTTCACAATAATTAAAATAATAAAACTTTATTTATACAAACACATTTCACAGACAAAGATGTGCTTCACAAAACGTGAAAAATACAAATAAAAACATGATGCAAGAAATAGGATCATTAAATAGGATTTAATAGTTGTTAGCTTAGATTAGAAATCCTCGGAGAAAGTCTTCACTGTTGCATCATGCACGTCTGCTCCCCAGAGCTTTATCTCCCAGCTCCACCTTAAAACCCTGGTTGTCACACATCTGCCGTTCAACAGCGAACACGCAGCCGGCAGCTGATTGGCTCGGCTGATCTCAGTGTGATTCGGCCTACAGTTACTCCCCCCTGGCGTGAGTCCAGCTCGAGGGGGTGTGTACCTACAGAGCACATACTGTTCACCACATCATCACCTTTCAGCAACACCATATCAGACGGTGACAGTGTGCGTTCAGCAGTGACAGCTTTAAGTAAAGTAAAGTAAAGTAAAGTGAAGGGAAGTTTCTGTTGAGTCTGCAACAGTTAAAACAAGTTTGACCAGTTATCCCACAACTGAAAAATCCAAAATCTGCCTGGACTCAAACAGCTCAGCTACGAATGCTTAAAGCTCTAATATGTGCCATTTCCTCATTTAAAAGTGTATAAACTCTATGTTCTGTATGTAGTTGAGTTCTTCCATTATCCCAAATGTTTCCAACAATATTCAAACTCAGAGAAATCTGTCATTTTATTCAGGTAACACTGCGTTTCACCGGTCGCCTGTCGATGGCGTCATATCCCCTTTGTGCCTGCGTCAGCGTTGTGGTTGTCTGTCAGAAGCTGTCATACATTGACTGTTTATCCAGTCTGAAGCCACATTGTTACCATCCACTGTTTAGATCTTGGTGCTTTTTAACTCTAGATTTGAACCGGATGAAGGATTTTAGTCATCGGACGTCTGGATCTAAAGTTATCAGAGAAACAAGCTGACGTAACGTTAGCAGCAGCTCGGCTCGCAGCCCCTCCGGGACGTCCTTTGTCTACAGAAGAGCGTCCGAGAAGAAGGGAATTTAAAGAAAAAATCAGTTTTTAATCAGCGGGTCTGTTTGTTTTGGATCTGTGGATCATTGGGCTCCCGGTAGAAACCTCCTGAACCATGAACCCTGAAGGAATCCTAACCGGGAGAAGCTGACTGCAATGACGCCAATGGTGGTGAAGACAACAACTCCCATGATCCCACGCTGCTTCGCCACCTCATCAAAATTTGTCTTATGTTATTGTGCAGAAATTACTTATTGTTAGCTCAACACAGGGCTCAAAATGTGTCAAAAAAACTAAAAACTGAAGGAAAGCAAACAGCAGATTCACCCTCTTTGTTCACTCTTTCAACATGCATTCTCTCTACCAAACCGCCATGCAGAGAAATCCAACACACCACCGGTTTCCATGCGAGTCAGGCATCACAAGATCACAGCTTGACGGATCAGTGTTTTCGCTGAAAAACATCAAGTGCATTTCTGCGACCTCACTGAGGCTCTAAAAGTGCTGGTAATGACACACCCAGGCATTCCTCTGGTTAGAGACTGGATTTACTGCTGCAGCTCTACCTACAAATTAAGCTTGAATCACAAACAAACACAGTCCACATCATCATCATCATCATCTTCGGGAAACAAGCCTGCGTGTAGTACCTGGTGTATGTCTCCGTAATTCAGGCTGGAAATAGATACAGAACCAGTTTATCGAGTTCATACATGTGTGGAAATATTAAACACATTTTAAAGATATAAAGAGTTCAAACAAAACAACTCGACGAGGGTTCAGTGGCGGCAACGCGGCGTCATCCTATACGGGAATATGGTTGCATCGTTAATGTTATTCTACTATGTAATATTTTACATCAACCTGCGTTATATTCCAAATAAATCACACAATATCTGTTCATTTATGTTCTAATAATTAAAACTAACTTAAAACAAACTGTCTGCTGGCCTGTAGCTTCACATATAAACATGAGAGCGGTATCGATCTTCTCATCTGTCAACAAAAAAGGTAATTATGTCCTAAAATACCGAAGTTTTCCTTTAAAAACTGTGACAATAAAAGTAGAACTTGATGTTACAACAATAAGATATTAATTAAATAATACATGTATTTCCCAAAATGTCAAAACTATTCCTTAAAATTTGTTGTTTTTGGCATTTTTGGTGCGTTCAGCCAGAGATATTCACCCACATTATGAATGTTTCAGTGGGGATTAGCGGTTGCATAAAGCCTAAGCATGTGATCTTATTATTCTCTTGTGACTTGCTGATAGATGCTTTGTCATTAGTTCAATGAAAGTGAGCCCTGATCATTTGTCTGCATCTGGTTTTGTCCCTTCACGCTACCCATACCTCTATATTTAGCTTTAATACAGGTCGAGCCTTCGACTGACCCCCTTTGCAAATAAAAAAAGGGTCCTGCAGTGGACTGAACACGTATGTTGTAACGCAGGTGAGCGTGTGCAGACAGAGGCAGCAATGTGCTTTGTCATCGTGGCTCATGCAACTTTACATGGACCCCCGGGGGCCCTCTGAGCACACAGCATGAGGGCAATGGGGCAACAGAAAACACCCACCAAACTGCTGACAGAAGACTGTACAGAAACGGACACGAACGTGATCAATAGCGCCGTACAATCGGGCTGCAATCGGCTCTCTCTTACCTCCTACTGATGTTGCAATATCACCAATAATCATTGATCTGTGGTTCACGCTGAGCTGAGCTCGTCACTGATTGACTAACGAGACAAGCGGGTTCACGTCAGTCGGGTTTCTTTGAAAAGGACGCGTGTGATTAAAGGTTAAAGGTCGTCCACAGACACAACCGACTGTCCAAACTCCAGCCTCAAAGACACAAGTTACAGGTATTAGCTTCTGTGTGACATAATGCGGATCTAGAGCGGCAATACCAGTTTAACACGTTAATTTAGATTAATTTGAATTAAAATGGAAGTTAATTTAAAGGTCCAGTGTGTAGGAGCCACATAACACCTGAACAACACCCCCGTCTACAGACAGCTTTTGGTTTGTCCCTTCTGTGCTGCTGTAGAAACATAAAAGGTAGATAGAAAACGTCTTATTCTAAGGTAACAAAAACACAACTATTCTTATTTTCAGGTGATTTTACACTAATAAAAACATACCTGTGAATATTATATTACATTTCTGACAATAGATTATCCTCAACGTTACACACTGGACCTTTAATCGTCTGTTACAGCCACATTTTAGACGAAAACTTTGAAGAAGTTCTATGAAACAAGACATGTATTTAGAAAAATATCAGAAAATTTGGACATTTATTGAAATTATAATGCCACCTTTAGACATTTCTATTAAATGCTTTATTAATGTGTCACAATAAAGTGATGTTTTAGTTAAAATTAGAGCTGTCTGATTCGATATAGTGCAATTTTTTTTACATTTTATTTTAGGAAAACTGTCAAAGTATAAAGAACTCACCACTATATGAATTTAAAAAAATCACTTTTTAATGAAAACCAGAAAAGTGGGGTTTATTTCCAACATCATAGCCCTCAGTTTATGTTTACTACACTGATATTTAACACAAAAATAGTTCTTTTTTAATATTTTCTTACACCCCAAAAGCAAATATTGATATATGTGATTGTTTGCCATTAAAAGGGTCCCATGTGTAACATTTAGGAGGATTATAATGATCATAGGTATGTTTTCATTAGTGTTTAATCACCTGAATAAAAGAATAATTGTGCTTTTGTTACCTTAGAATGAGACGCTGCAGGACGCCATGTTTCTACAGAAGCCTAGAACGGACAAACTGCACACTGGTTGCAGAGACACACTTATCACAGCCATCGTCAAATACAGACGCGAGCAGTGTTCAGTTAGCTGTTCACCGTTAGATGCCATTAAATCCCACACAACTGGTGTTTTAAAATCAGCATATATTTCTGCCACCTCATCAATATTTGCTGCTGTCCTGGAGTTTAACCGTAAATAAATGTGAATAATTATAGTTAATTATAATATTATAATAGTTATCAGCCACATAAACAAACAATCAGGGAGAAGATTGGCTGTTTCTGTATTTATTGTAATGTAATGTAACACAAAGCGTTAAAAACACTACCGCTTCTGTCCACAGGGGTCGCCAGAATCAACACTTACTGAAAGTTCCTAATTACAGCTTTAATATATTAAACAGTCTAAAATAAAAGCATTTTCTGCTCCCACACATCATCCTAACACATATACTGTTTTTATCTCCAGTGTGCCTTTAAAGAGCCTCCACTCTCTCCCTGCCTGCAATCCACCTTTACTGTGCATGTTACAGCTTAATCTCAGGACCACCACCATCTCACACACACACACACACACACACACACACACAGACAGACTGAGGAGGCTGCTATAAAGTTGTTTACAAGTTTGTATGTGTGAATCTGTGTGTGTGTGTGTGTGTGTGTGTGTGTGTGTGTGTGCAAGGACCAACCTCTCCCTCCTCTTCCTCCCTCCCTTCATCTCCACAAACTTTCTTACCTGCCAGGATCGCCTTCCCAGGGTGGGTGAGTTTGGCTTTCCCCGCCGGAGCTGCAGCAGCGAGACACCGCGGTCTGCAGAACGGGCTCACGAATCCAGGTTGTCCGGACATGACTGCGATACCCCGGCCTAACTTTCCTCTCTCTTAGGGGGTGGGGGTGGGGGGGGGGGGGTAGTTGTTGTTTTTTGTGGCTGAATCCGGACGTGCTCGGTTGCTGCAGTCAGCCTTGAAGCCCCGGTGCAGTCTGGGTGTTGTGTGCAGCAGGAGATGCAAACACTGACCATTGGACTCTTTTTGGAGTTGATAATGTGTGTGTGTACTTTCCACTGTGGAGTTCCCTCCGTGGCACACACACACACTCACACACTCACACACACTCACACACACACACACAGGGTGATAGCGTCGAGTCAGTGTTCCTGCAGGGCGGGGCAGCCCCCCCCCCAACACGCATACATACATACGCCATGTTGGTCACAAACATTTAAGGTGGACTGGAGGAGTTAGTCTCTGCACACAAGCTCTTTGTCGTTGCTCCTTTTCCGGTCTCCTCTTTAAGTGCAACAGTTCACCTGCAGGGGGCGCTGCTGCACTCCTCAATCATTTTATTACTGTATTATTTATTTATTTAATTTATTAAACATACAATACTAAACATACAGGAACCTGTGGGGGGTTATAAATATAATAACACAACAAAATAAACTCATTAAGAGCAAAAAGTGTGAAATATTCCCAAAAATCTTTGTGTTATTTTACTGGAATATAATTTAAGATAAGATTTTAAGACTTTATTGATCCCACACTGGGGATATTCACTTGATACAGCAGCTGCAGATGTAAAACAGCAGATGAGAAAAAAAAAGAAATACACATTAAATAACTAAATAAAATAGAAAAATATAAGATATCAAGAAAATAGAATTAGGTTTGTGTACTACATACAGTATTTTTATACAGAATAGTTATATAATAATATGAATATTGGATATAACTGTACAGTGCTGGTTTTTACTTAAGAGATAAGAAAAATAATTTAAAAGTCATTTAAAAAGATGTATATATATATATTTATTAAAGAAATTCAGAATTATTTTGAAATTAGTTTATTTGGCCATTTAATAAAAGTGTTATTACACTTGTTATCCTTTAAGTTACCTGTACAGTAAATAAATACAGGGGTGAAAACACAATTTGTGTCTAAAATCTTGCCAATAAACTATTTTTATCATCATGGATCATGTTGTAAAATTAGGCAGTTATTGATGCATGTATATTATTAACAGATTATTAAGATTATTTGCTGACGTAAAGCCTCCATAATTACAGCTATGAGTCAACACAAAGTGAAAGTTCCTGCTTTAACATATTAAATTAGGCATTAATGATCTTTTTTTGGGATTGTTGCAGTCAAACAGACTTAGCCTACCAAAATAAAAGCACTCATTATACAGAATGAGAACGATGTATATCCGCTTATTCGATTATAATTATTGATGAACAATGTGTTTGTCATATTAATGTTGTAGCTGGTGAAGGTGGAGCTAATTTGTTTATCACTTTATATTCTGCTGCGTATAGGTTGTGAATTTTGCCCCGCAGGGATCAATAAAGTTTTATCTAATCTGACCATATCTAATAGATAGAGTGCAGTAAAAAAGTTCAATATGTAAGTATACATGCCTCTGAACTGTAAAGTACTTCATTACTTGGGTTAATATTTGCTGACTTTTAATGGTGAAACCCAGAAATAAAATGTTTCACTGACTTTCAGTTCTCAACTACTGAAAGAAGGAGGCCTGAATCTAACTCATATAAATCTATCACACATCAAACATAATCCACTGACTATAAATCTCCAGTTTTATTGTTCTATTCTCATATTAAAAACCCAATTTCACCAGATTACACATGAGTCCTTTATGGGTGCATTCATTGAGAATCTGAAATCAAGAGCACAATCTGCAGTGAAACACCAAAGTGGCAGCCTCAACCTGAGTCAGTCAGAGCTGTGGGCCTGTGTTATATTAAACGGCTGTTACATTTGAACAGAAGCGAGTTTCCAGTGGCTCATTAAACGTCTTCTTGTGACTCCTAATCACAGATTATGGCCCATTGCTATGAACCGTTAAACCAAAGAGCGACTCCCCTCTTGGACTGTTTGAAGGATTTTTAGATGACCCGCAGGAAGAGGAGAAATCATCACAATAAAAACACAAAAATTAGAACAGCCAGAAAAAACAGAGATAGAAAATAATGTGTAATTTATTATATAATCCCTTTAAATGTCTGGTCATGGCTCAGATTTATTTGGGGACTCTTTGAGGGGTCCCGGCTCTCAGGTTAGAAACATTTCTGTATCCCTGATTTGTGTTTATTTATTTATTTATTTATTATTAATACAGGTGAAACAATCCATGTATCACACAAGACAAAACACAACAAAATAATAACGTAATAAGATAATACAAGATATAATTTACAGAAAAAGAAGAAAAAAGACAATTGGAGAAAAGGGCAGGAGCACATAAAAATATAAATAACTAAAAACACAAAAGGTTAACAGGATGTATTCAATAAATCAAATAAATAAGTGTTGTGTTGATCAATTTCTTCCAATAAACCTTTAACGCGTGTAAAAAAAAAAAAAAAAAAAAAACAACCTTGGATGACGTCGACGGATTAACATCTCGCTTTCGTATTCACTCTTTGGCCGCTTTTTTGGCGCTGACACCGCGCATGCTCCGTGTGTCTCCTTCATTGTGCCCTGTATAGACGCTGCTAAGCTAAGCTAGCTGTCAACCCACTGAGCAGCATCACGCCAGGGACTCTGCAGGCTCCCTTCAAACACCTTTCACCACCGGTAAGGAGAACAACAACGGGGGTGGGGGCAAAGAAAGAAGCGAAATAATCTCAAATATGAGCTTTATAAAACGATAAATTACCTTAAATTAACTGCAGCTTTTTAAATATCGGTGCGTTTCTCTCCAAGGTTAGCCACATGTAGCATGTGGAGCGACTTAGCCGGGGCTGTTATGTAATGATGTTCAGCCTGGTAATGCACAGGTTTAATCCTTTGGCATGATGCAAAGCTGGGAGCTAAATGCTAACCTTTAGCAAACTTCCACCAGCTGAGACACACACACACACACACACACACACACACACACACACACCCTCCTCTTCCTCTGGCCCATCTGCTGTCCTTTGTCCCTGATCAGAGCTGCAGCAGCAACCATTACCTGTTGGGTTGTCCATGCACTGAACACATCTCCACTGTCTCTCTGAGTCTGTCCCATCATCATCATCATCATCATCATCATCATCATCAGGATGAAGGCCCTTTTGTATCCAGAGCCTTTTGTTCTGCCAGCTGCTGTATTTCTGCTCACATATGGAGGTTTAAATTCATTCTTTTTTTAATGGTTGCTGCTCTCTCTCTCTCTTCCCCCCCATCCTGTAGCTTCTAGGTTCAGCCGGATGCAGAGCTCATGTGCTGTTAGCTTCCCAGCTGCCTCTAAAGGGAACAGCCTGTTCCCTTTCTGCTGGAGCTCACTGGGAGGCCGTGGCTGCTTCATTATATGACAGTTACGGCATTGTTTGGGTGTATGACGAGACCCCATTGACTCTGATTTTTGTTAGCTTCTGTCTGCCTCAGTGGCAAGAAGACTAAAATCTCCAAGGGCTGCACGGTGTGGTAGAAAATGATTAGTTTGGGGATCACGATTTCAATTTTTACTGAAAAAAAACTATTAAGAATCAGGATGATGTGACATTTATTGGATTGGATAAGATTTTTAGACCTTATTGGGATAATATTTAGATGAATTGTGCAGCCGTACTCTCTCCCCTGATGATTAGAGCCTTTACTTTATTTCTAGATCAACTGAAACTGTGTCCTTCGTCTTGCTTTATAATTAGTTCATTGACTTAAACCGAGAGAATCCAGAAGGCACTGATGACATGACTGACTTTATCTTCTCCAGCACACAATGGCTGTCCCTCCTTCATACTCAGACCTGGGCAAGGCCGCCAAGGATATATTCAGCAAGGGCTATGGTGAGTACAGTTTTAGCCCAAAGAGAGTAAATTATTAACCGTGAGGAATTCCTGAAGCACGGTAGATTGATGGAAACGTTTTAATGTCGGTGGCGGTGGGGCAATCTGCGATATGTAGCTTTAAAGGAGGTTTGTAATGTTTGAAAAGGCACCCAAAACTGTTTCTGGTAGGAGTCGGCAAAATGGATTAAAGTCTCCATCTCTCTGTATTACAATATCTCTCTATATATTAGGGTATCGTACATTTTACTCACAATTTTTTGATGAGTAATGGCTCAAATATCCAGACATGAATGTGTTTTTACTAGTTACTTTATCACATCGATGCAGAAGTTATATCCAGTATCATTCAAATATCGGCATAAATCAGTTCTGCTCATTGATTTAAACCTCGGCCACGATGACCTGGTACACCGAGAGACAGCTAATAGAGCAACGATAAGTCGATTAATCCAACAGAAATATTAATTAGCAACTCTGATCTCTCTGTGATTGGTCTTCTGTGTTTAAGCACACGTGTGACGACATGTTGACACGAGATTTTGTCTTCAGATTTTTGCCCAAAATGCCCAGACTTTATGCTAAGCTAACAATCTTTTGGCTCCAACTTCATATTGAATGGAGCGATATTCAGAATATTGTCTTTAGTGATATGTTCTGATTTAAACTCACGATCATGCACACACAGGTAGAAGGATCCCAGGAGACAGCAGCTCTTAACAGCACAGAATCCTCCACCACGTTTATACCATATTAAATACCATCCATCAGAAACATGCAGCTACAAAACAAAGAAAAACAGAATGAATATATTCATACAGATGGAGGGATGATATGATTTTTTAAACAGAAATGAGATAAAAGACAAATTATGACTGAAAGACAAAAATCTAAGACGTATATTTTCTCTGATTTTCTTCATCAAATTATAGAATCGTTTTTATTTCTGAGGTAAATTATGCAAAACACTGCATATTTCATTATCTTTTTTAAAGGAAAACTGATGTTTTTGACCCCGATACCACGATTGATTTTCATTTCATAAATTCCTATAAAAGGACTCGGAGAATCTTCCCATTTATGTTAAAATTTTAATAACTCAATGGCTCTAACGCTCTGAAACAAGTTCATGCAGCCAGTTTCTGAAGCACGATGCAGTGCGAGTCTTCAAGGTCTTGAGAATATGTTTTTAATCCAAATATTCCTTTTTAAATCTTGTTGTATTTAATGTCTTTGCTTTTGAAACCCACCAGGCTTTGGTGTCGTGAAGCTGGACCTAAAGACCAAATCACAAAGTGGAGTGGTAAGTACATTAATTATTCATTCTTTCCTTTAATAACCTGTTGTCATTATCCTGATGCTGTCTGCCGTCGGTCCATCTCCCTCTCGCCTCCCCCTCCTAACGCTCCCCCATACGTCCTGACTGACCTGAACCCTGTAACCCGGAGCTTGAAGGTTTTCTAGGTTGACGAGCAGCGCCGACGCCGACCTGCTTTGGGCTGAACCTGCGCTCTGTTCTAGAGAAACACGACATGTTTTTGTTTTAGAGGCCTGTCTGTCTGTCTCTCTCTACCTGCCTTTTCCCTAACCGCTGCTCTGTCTCCATCGCTGCTGCCGTCTGTACCGGACTGCTCGCGCTCTAATGTAGATGGTAAGATCGGAGTCAGAGCTGACAGCTGTGTGTTCACATAACGACCACCACCACCACGTTCACGCTCATTCGCACATTGTTGTTGTTTGTTTTTGTTTCTTTTATTTGTCTTTGTGATAATCATTCACACAGCATGAATATTAATGTCTTTTAACTGTTATTTGCTTTCCATGTTTTCTCACGTCACTTAATCTGAATTTAAATTATCAGTATATCTGCAAGTAATTATAATAATGAATCAGTTAATCATTTGGTTTATAAAGCGTCAGATAATAGTGAAAAATAGACGGTATTTCCTAAAGCTCAAAGTGACGTCTTAACTATAACTTACTTTTTCATAATAAATTAGGCAGATTTAATCATATTTAAACTGCTGTTTATACACAGTGTACACTGGAACACATTTCCCTTTTTACAGCCTCCCAATAAAATAAGCTTTTTAGACAGATACAGGCAGGCCTGCATGATTTGAGATTGGGTAGGGATAGGAAGGTCAGGTCAGAGTGGAGCAGGTCGTGACTTCACCATCCTGTCGGAAACAAAAATGCGAACAGTACGCCGTCGGTTTGGGGCTAATAAATGACGTGATATCGGATCAGAGACTTTTCTTCTAGAAGCATAATGAGGTTAATACAGGGTGAAATATATCTACAATCATTTTACAGATACAGTCTGAACTTTGGTGATCCTTTGCCTTCCTGTGGCGCCACCATGAGGTTGATTTAGGCTAAGATAGGCTGAAACACGTTCATGATCCTCAGAGGATGTAAGTGTAAAAACTTTTCCTCCTCAGCTGTACACATTTAGTATTGATTAGTTAATGTTAGCACGCTAAAACAACACAGTGAACGTGGTAAACATGATACCTGCTGAACATCTACAGGCTGGCACTGTCATTGTAAGCATGTTGGCATCGCTGCAGACTCTTATTGACTCTTTTCTCTGCATGTATCACACGTAGTGCTCGCCTCATGAATTATGTGTTCGCCAATAAGACGGGGTGTCGCCTCTTCTGCAGCAATTAAATTAAAAGGAGGATCTTGTGCTGGTCTGCGAGGAGAGAGAGAGAGAGAGAGAGAGCTCCTCTTCCTCCTGTGTGTGCGTCTGCTTGTCTCTGTGGTTAGAGACAACTGACAAATATGTGGAATAAGTACGTTAAGTTAATGATACTGTTTCTAATAGATATAGTGGACAGGCAGGTTTTAATATTTCATCATGTGGGGGAGAAACCGAACAGGGTTGTTAGGCAAAGGGAGGAATATTTAATCATTAACGGGATTCAGATCATTTAGTTTATTATTTATAAGATTTCTAATGGATTATCAGTGTGCTCTCTTGCTAGATTCACTTGGTTAACATTTCCCCAACGTTAGTCCCGTTAACAGACATTAAGTTATCATCAGTTAAACAGATAGAAATAAAGTCTGTGGTTGGTCGAGTGCTATAAAATAGACTTTCTATACTTTAGTGACGTTGTTTAAGCTTTTTAAAGCGGATGACCTTCATATATTTCCACATTTCTTATAATACTGTAAAACCTCTAATAATAGCCCGGGAGTTTATTTGCTTAAATCACTGAACCCCCCTGCCTTTATTGGGGACAGGCCTCTATTTGGGACAGGCCTTTAATTCCTTTAGCACTAAACTAAACTAACTGCTGCTGCACTTGAGATTTATTCAGCAATTCTGACAACTAACATGATGATTATGATGCTTCAGAGGTTTATTTCCTTCTCTCTTGTTGAATTAACGTTATACTTTGTTGTTGATAGTTTTCGTAAAATATAGTGAAAGATTGAATTGTGGAGAATCTATAACTGATCTAATGATGTGCAGCATGTGCATATTAACAGAAGTTTAAACATTTATATTTGTGTAGGAGATTGAAACGACTTAAAACTCGTCGGTGGGTTTAAAGAGGTTTTATACATCAAGATAATTTATAAAATCCAGACCAGGCCTCTATTGAGACCTGCGTTTTTTTTTAAACTTAGCCACCCGGCTTTTAAAAGAGACCTGCATCTATTAGGGACCCTGCTTTTATTGGAAGTTTTACGGTAGTCTTCTTAGTTTCTCTGTCATTTAGTGGTGCTGATATTTCTGTTGTTAGTGTCTCCTTAAGTTGGATTTAGATCTACTGCGTTTCAGGTATTTGAGTAACTAACACGTTGCTGTCAGAGCCGGAGAGCTCTCCAATTCAATTATTAATTTCTGTATGAATGAATCATTAATTGCAGGAGGGTCCGAGTTGTGATTTTCTTTTTAAACTACATATTTTAGGGCGTTTTTCTAACCTTTTATCAGAGAGACGCGATAGAGAGACGACAGGAAACGAGAGGAGAGAGAACGACACGCAACAAAGGTCTCGTTTCAGTTCCTCTGGTTCCACATGAGCCTTTCACTTTTTGATTTTGAGGATTCAGTTTATTTCTACACATCACAGGGTAGAGCGGGTTTTATTATAAAGAACAGCAACAAAGCAATGTGATTTTATAATAAAACATTTTGTCCTCTAGTATTTAGACACTCAGTCATTCTCTGTAGTGCAGCAGATTTCCTTTCAGCTTTAATTTGAGGGTTTATATCCAGATACAGAGAATATTTTAGGAATTGTCGCCCTGTCATTGTCGTCCTGCTGTCCCCAAATTGCCGACTGTCTCCTAAACCCTCTTGTTTACTCATTCACTACTCTTTATATAACAGACGGTCAATAGTTTACTCAGTAGTGAGCATAGACGGTGTAATGAAACATGGACGTTGTCATTCTAAAGTCACTCGCAGGTTTTTGAAGAACTGTTGTGAAGCTGTAAACATTTTAATTCCTAAACAAACCCTTAATTCATCGAGTGAGATAAGAAAATGGCTGCAATGGCTGTTGCGCAACGTTAGCTAACTGACAGACTCAGGTTGTTATTGTCAGTGTCTGACAGCATTATGGAAAGGATCCCTACAGAGATAGACCTTTAGTTTAACCACAAACAGCCGTAATATCACTATCACTGTCCACCAGACTCCAGAGACAAAAACGCTCATTTTTACCTCACAGATCTTTGTAACTTCATTCAAATACTTACAACCATCCTGTGTTACGTCAGCTGTTCAGAGTCTCTGTAGAAAACAAAAAGAAAGTGAGCGTGTTCTGACTTTATGTGAATTAATACCAAAAAAATGACTAAAAGCCGCCGTATGAAAAGTTCTCCATTTCTATTTTTTGCTTTGTAACTATACTATAAGACCTTAAAATCCCAACAGCAGTATTTAAACCCACCACAGTGTGTTCTTCTGTCCATTTTCTGTCCCTCACGTGTGTGTCAACTGGTGTCTTGCATGGATTAATGTCCGGGATTGTCTGGTGTCCACAGTGTTGTATGGCTCTGATTTTCATTTATATTTAATAAGTTGGTTCTCAGTCGTAGTCTGCACAGTTTGTCCTTCTAATCTTTAACGTTTCTGTCTAATTTTATTTGCTAATTTTCTTTGAATATTCTGTGATAATCTACACACACACACTCTCTCTCTTATTTGCTGTGTGTGACTGACTTTGTTACGCTAATGGTTTGTCCTGCTGTGGCTGTCAGGAGTTCAACACATCTGGCTCCAGTAACACAGACACGGGGAAGGCCACAGGGAACCTGGAGACCAAATACAAGATGAAGGAGCTGGGCCTGACCTTCAACCAGAAGTGGAACACAGACAACACGCTGGCTACTGAAGTCACCGTGGAGGACCAGGTACGTGTGTTTGTGTGTGTGGTAACATCCAGTGTTCAAACTGGGTTTTGCAACTGATAAAGTAACATTGTTCAAGTCTTACTTACTGGTGTGTGTTTAAATAGACTGTTGACTTAAAGTTTTGCTTTACCTACAGCTGACTGAGGGACTGAAGGTTGCCTTGGATACGTCTTTTGTACCAAACACGGGGTGAGACTGTTTGTTTGTATGAATCAGTGATACCTTTATGGGGGGATAAATTATGTAAGTTTAAACAGTGGGTCAGGCTCTGCTCTGGTATAATAATAGCTGCTTTTTTCCTCACTTCTCTGAGTGACCCGAGGAGTTAAATGACTCACTTCTTTTTAAATCGCATTTATTCTTTAAATACTTCACTGGCCGGGTGTCTGCAGGCTTCTTAAAGGGTTTATTAACAGTTAATAAATCAATTTAGCAACAATTAAAGCCCTTAAAGTTAAGTTTTTGGACAACAGTGGAGCTTATATAAGATATCAGGCTTTGATACACACACAGTACTTGGTTTTGGTCTTTTTATGGGATTTGCTGACAATAAGAAAAACACCTGAACATCACTTTAACCCTGTAAACCCATTTTTCAGTAAGAAGAGCGGCAAGCTGAAGACGGGCTACAAGCGCGACTACGTGAACCTGGGCTGTGACGTTGACTTCGAGGGTCCCATCATCCACGCTGCCGCCGTGCTGGGCTACGAGGGCTGGCTGGCCGGCTACCAGATGGCCTTTCGACACGGCCAAGTCCAAACTGGCCCAGAACAACTTCGCCCTCGGATACAGGGCCGGGGACTTCCAGCTGCACACCAACGTGTGAGTACGCCAGTGCGTCCTGGAGGGAAAAAAACGTTTTTTGTATTGGAGTTAATGGAGATTAATCATCAGTTCCCTTTCCCCCCATTTCATTAACATATCTTAAACCTTTAAACCATCAAATTACCATCTGCAAACAAATTAAAGTATTGGTTCTGCAGGGTTTGGTCCCGACATACTGAAACTATCTGTGTGCACGAGCTTCTCTGAACCAGCATCTTCTTCGCTCTCCCTCTCAGTAACGACGGGACCGAGTTCGGCGGCTCCATCTACCAGAAGGTGAACGACGAGCTGGAGACAGCGGTCACTCTGGCCTGGACCGCCGGCAGTAACAACACTCGCTTCGGCATCGCTGCCAAATACAAGCTGGACAAAGACGCCTCTCTGTCTGTAAGTGCTCCGGTTGATTTAATATTTATTATCATTTATCTGCACGGCCTCAAATCGTATTGATTATACTGCCACAACTACAAACTATTTGTGCCAGGATGGCCTTAAAATATGTCTTAATATGTCTTTAAAAGTCTTGAATTTAACCTGTTTTTGTTTGATATCTTATCCTGTTTGACCCCTGCAGGCCAAAGTGAACAATGCCAGTCTGATCGGAGTAGGCTACACCCAGAGTCTTCGGCCAGGTAGGCTCCGATCCAAAACGCCGTCGTTCTCATCCACTTCATCTTCAAACAAAAGTCTTTACTAAGAATCTTTGGCCCCATTAAAACCTTTTCACAAACTTCTGAGAACAACTTTTACTAAAGAACTACTAAAAGTTAACCTCGTTGCTTTGAATAGCATCGAGTAAATGAATCTCTTCACGTCGTCTCCAGGGATTGGTTGAAACGAAATACTGAATAGATTGATGTCACAGATTTTAATCAGGAAACAAAGTATTATATCTGCCATCAAACATCGTCTGCATGACTGAACACACTGTAAACATCCAGCATTACTCAGCCTTTAATCTACCACACAAATGAATAAGACAATGTGGTAAAAAAAAACGGTATTAAAACATCTTAAACTTCTCTTAAATATTTCCGTGTTCCATAGATGGCGCATTATGAATGTATAATGTTTTGTGTGTGATTTGAGTGTCAGGAGATGTTATAGGAGGCAGAAACCAGACGCTGGTGGAGTTTGGGTCTGCAGCTAGAGTAGCAGGAAGCTCGATCACGTAAAATAGTAAAGTCAGTTTTAGCGAAACTATCTACGAGTGGATTTCCTGGTCACTTTAATTCATTATATCATGAATTATTGTTATAGATACTGCTGGGAAATACGGAAACACAACCCATTAATATCCACAATGACTGTTACAGCACTTTAAGTACTCACTAAGCTAAACACAAATCCATTCATCGTTAGTATGAGACTACAGCACACTTTTTACATCCTCCTTTTACTCGTTAGTCACCACGGGTTGCTTTTTTATTTTCCAGGAAAACTCCTCTAGAACAAACAGGTTAGGGTTGATGACAGTTACAGTAAAAGACATTTTATAATGTATTCCTATAGGATACAATGAGTGACTGACTGCTACACAATGATACACAAATGGCTTAATATAGAGTTAGTTATATCAAATGATGCCACTGCATTCAGAAATATGTGCTCTGATCCAGTTTAAATCGGATATTTAACATTTTAAATTAATGTTAAACTTGTTTTTCTGTTTTTTTTTAAAAAGATAATCCACTTGGTTTACCAGTTAAAGGTCCAGTATGTAATGTTTAGAATACAGGAACTGGTTTCTCAGTTTAGCACTAAATCCTTCACACTGGACCTTTTAATGCACTGATTCTCCTTTTCTATTCTTGAGTAAACAGATTACCCCCCAACAAAGGGACGTATTTTATAACAGTAACGGTAGAGAACAACTGGAACTGTACAGTGGACACAAACAGTGGACACAGTAACTTCAGGAAGTTTGTGTAAAACAAGAGTTTTGGATGAATTTTGAGCAGATTATTTCCTGTTAATATCGATCTTCTTTGTCTGTATTATGTATTTTTGTTTAGTTTTTAACAGTCATACATACATAATAGGCTTCTTCTGACACATTCAGTGTTTGAAATGCTGATAATAAAGCCTATGTGTATTTTGTGTAAGTTTCCCTCCACCTCTTAAAATCAAGAAGGCTTCACGACCCCCCCTGTGGGGTTGGGAACCACTGCTTTAAGTCATGATAACTATACGGCATTAAACATTTAGATTGTGTCCTGTGTATCCACATCGACACTTTTCACCTCTAACAGAAAAAGGTTCTGTACAAGGAGTTTTTAACTGGTTATAAACAGTCTCAGTTTGATACCACCTTTGTCCACAGGGGCCGCCAGAGTCAACAAGTTGCTTTAACGTACTGAATATAATCATTAATGGGTAGAACAGTCTAACATCCATCCTGGTGAGCTCTGCAGAAACCCTGTTTTGTGTGTCTGCAGGTGTTAAGGTGACTCTCTCAGCCCTGATCGACGGCAAGAACTTCAACGCCGGAGGACACAAAGTCGGCATGGGCTTCGAGCTGGAGGCATAAAGCGGGAGAACTCAGACCCACCAACAACAAAAAAAGCTCCTCCGCCCTCCCCCCTCCTCACACACAGGTCACCACCATCACGTAGCTTCTTCTCTCTGGACTCACCCCCCTCCCCCCCCCCGGTTCACTCTTGTTCATGAGCATTTCTGACAGTAATAGTCGAGTCTCTGCATCATGCTTTAACACCCCTGAGAGGAGTCGTGAGGTTGCGTGTTGATCCTGAAACTGGCAGCGCGTAGTTTCTGGATTATTACCGTTTTTATGGTTACTGAAGTGACACTATTTATTGCCCCCCCCCCTCTGTAGCTCTCGGATGAAGTAGTCGTCGGTGTAAACGTGTAGCTCATTAAAAGCTTCTGTAATCAGCTGTTCCTAAAAGCATGTCAGAATGAAAACGTGGATGTGGAGCTGAAGGCTTATTTGCTTGGTTAAAAAAAAAAAAAAAATGGTGCTGAGTGTCTGTTTTGTTTCGGCTGTGTTGTTGCAATCTGTGGACTATTAAATCCATATACATGTTTTGATACAACACATTTCGCGAACATATGACTGGATGACGAACCGGTGGTTTGAAGGTTACGTAAAGACTCCTGCATTGTCTGACTGAAGGATATTAAACACTGTTAGCTTTACAGGAACAACGTTCGGTGCAGATTGCTCCTTTGTGACTTCTCATTTCTTCGGTAGGTGAAATCAATGTAGTGGAATCTTCTGGTTAGATTACGTAGTTTAGTTTTTGCATTTCTACAATATTGTTTTCATCTATCTGCCTCAGCACGGCGGTCACAAAGAAAGTGAGGGACGTCTTTGCGTCTGCACCGTCTCGTAGGTATCTCAGCTGCTCAGCGGCGCCGGGCGTCTTTAACTTTGACGGCCAGCTGTTTCCTCATGTTGCTCGGGGACTGTGGTCTTTGCTGTTAGTGCTCTCTCTCTCGTTACAAACAACCTACACTCCTCAGATCTGTACAGAAATATACAGTTGATTGTCCTCCGAGTGATTCCAGTCGACACGCTTAATAGGATTATTTAAGAGGTTGTTGTGTCCCTCACGACTAGCTGACTAGTTTTTTTTTTTTTGGTAATCATGCATCAAAATGTGTTTTTTTTTTTCTTCTTCCATCTAATTGTGTTGTCATGATTATAAAAGGCTCATTTTTCTTTGTCACTTAGACACAGTACCTCATTTTTTTTTCCAATGTCAATTAAGGGAATTCTAATAATAAAAAAATAAATAAAAACAATGTGAATGTTGGCATTATTTCTCATCCAAGTACGGTGTAAGAAACAAGTCGTGAACACATTTAAATATCGTTTATATGATCTTTCAAGCAAACACCTGATGAATGAATCTTAATTGCTTTGAATATTTAAGGAGATGTTAGAACAGAGTTTTGTTATAAACACTTTAAGACTCTTTAGCGGTTAAATGCAGCACAAATACTTTAGTAGTTTTTACAGGTATCAGTACTTTTTATTTTTCTGACAATTTTCTTTACTTTTAGCTCCTCCTAGCTGTACTTTCTACTCCTGAAAGTCTCAAAACAACCTTGTTACTATAGTTTTAAATGCATTTGAGGGGGATTATACATTTTTATGTAATTGCATTCTCGATGGATGAAACAGACGAGTCGGTAGAAATGTCCTTCACAGAAACAAAGAGTACTTTTCACTTTTACTTGAGTGAAGAATCAGTACTTCTACTTTTGCAGGAGTATTTATTTCTTTTAAGTACCGTAAGTATTCAATAAAGAGTCAAAGCAGGATTTTTTAGATTATTTCTTTGGATGTATAAAACCTTTTAAAACTAGTGCTGTTAGTTAAACGCGTTATTAGCGGCGTTAACATAAACCCATTTTAACGGCGTCAATTTTTTTATCGTGAGATTAACGTTCTTTTTGGCCTAGCACACTTTGTAGGTTTTTTTTCACATGCTGTTGCAACAACTAGTAACGTTAGAAAAACTACAACACCACCCCGGATCTAGCTAGACCGGAAACAAAACAACAGTTTAAGACTTGTTTAAGAGTAGCAGACGTTACGTTTTGAGTGGATGGCGAGCGCGAGACGCCGAAATGGATGCCAATAATATTCTGAATGGAAAGTTTCCTTTTAAAAAAGTTGCCATTGTGTGTGAGATTATTTGTGACTCCAACTGAGAATGTCAGTGTGAAATTGAACACGACAGTATATGCTAATGTTGTTTTCAATAAAAACATTGGCACAAAGCAAGCTGATCAACTTTTCCATGTTGATAAGAGCATTAAAATGAGAAAACATAATGGGACAAAAAGAAATCAAGGAACATTTAGAATAGATAAAAATGTGCGATTAATTGCGAGTTAACTATGACATTAATGCCATTAAATAATTGAATCGTTTGACAGCACTATTTAAAACCCATCGGGGTTGACGGTATTTTCCATTTTTGTTGAGCATGAACTAAAGGCCTGTCCCAAATTAAAGGCATGTTGAGTTCAGGGGGCTGTTATTGAAGTTTTACAGTTTCTATACTTCAACTTGAGTGATGAATGTGTACTTTATCACGACTGCCAGCTAGTTGCTGCTAACCGCTGTTTGCAGGCGGCGTACGGTGGCTTTTTACTGCTTTCTTTGGGCCTGAAAATGGCACGATGAGGGCGGTGAGCTGAAACTCGCCATAAAGCTCTGTGAGCTTCAGACGATAATTATCCTTTGATCATTTCATAAAAAACATGAACTCAGTGTCCACTTACTGGCCTTTTCTGTAGCTCAAGGGTCTTCCTTTGCTCAGTTGTTGACTTAAAAAATCTCCATCTGAGTAGAAAAAGAGTAACTGGACCCCAAGTTGAAACATTTTGGGAAATAGCCCCCGAGTTTGATGAGAATTGATGCTAATGTCTGCTTGCTAAACATGAAACTATAGACAACATAAAGACTGGAAACAACTCAAAGTTAACAAAAGCTGCCTACCTGCTCCCTAAAAGCTCACTGATTAACTCATTTCTTGTTTATTTAACCTGCACAGAAACAGAAGTGTAGAAATGACTCCTGGTTTACGAGCAGGTTAATATGTGCGGGACTATTTCTTCTTCCTGGTGCAGAGACTTCCTGAACTGATTCCCTTCTTTTTCCAGTCTTATTGCAAAGCTAAGCTAAACAGCGCTTCATATTGCAAACTAAATAATAATAAAACCCATATAAAATCTCACAGTCATGTTTAAATGGTGTCTTTAATTCCAAGGCACTCATTACACATTGAAGTTTAAATTAGAAATATAAACTGAATACAGAACATTTAACATTTAACATACAAGACGGATTAAGTCTCATCAGGTCAGTAACAAAAATGAAATCTTAATGCTAGTGCGAGTCTGTGTCTACTTAAAGTTGCTCTCTTTGAACATAAAGTACATCCATGCAAAAAATATCTTTCCCCTAATAAATAAACTTGGCAGGGACCAAATATTCTTCAATGAAAAGAAGAAACGTACGCAGGCGAGCTTCATCCTGTAGCTGAACGAGGCGGCAGCTCGGTGTCTGCAGAAACATCGTCACAATCTGCTGACTTGCACTAGCATTAATAAAAGACATTTCTAAAATGTGTTAGTATCTGATGAATTCTAAAAATCGAAACTTCCACTTATTGATCAACCGATATCGGTCTCACTCCTGTGTCTGCTTCAGCTGCCTGATAAAGTAGTTCTGTCTGAGAGAGGTTAAAGGGTCAGCTCACCCAGATCATGAACACGCCCACTGTGACCATCTGAGCGAACGATAGCACTAAACAAAGTACATCTGATGGGACCTGATGACCTGATGACCTGATGGTGGCGCTAGATGAAAAGTTAAAGGTGGGTTAAGCGTTTCTAATAAATTCTGTGTGTTAGTTTCTACTGTTTTGTCATTTTACTAGTTGGTTTAATGAAGTTATTCATTCATTTCTCTCTGCTTGGAGTTACCTGGCTGCTCAGTTCTTCTTCCTGGTTTTGAGTAAAAGATGAGGCGGAGGGCGGAGCCTGGTTTTAAACAGAGGACCAAACCAAGAGGCTGACAGCACGGGGGAGGGAACCTTAGTTACTGTGTGTGCCGTCCTCCCCTGTGTGTATTTATTGGTTTGATCCGACAGCTCGTTCTGTTAGTCTACTTTTAATTTTAGCCTTATGTTTCAGTAGAATTCTGGTTTGTTGACCTCTTGTTGAATCGTTTGTGGGAAAATAAACCCAACCTTTAGATTTTAAAACCTTCTTCTGTGCTTTGCCTGCCACACAATACTTCCAGCCAGGGTTTGAGTGTCTCAGGTAACATTTAATTACTTGGACACGGACAGTTTGCCAAGATATATGCTGTTGTTGTTGTTGTTGTTGTTGTTGTTGCTGATGTTAGTTTCAGCAGCAGGAGAGCGGTGAGCCTCGTCCCGTCCTCTCTGCACATTAACTGTGCAGCAGCAACACTTTGCAAACCCACAACAGCTGATGTTGCATTACGTGCTGTGTCGTTGTTGCACGGTATCCGTCAGGGGTGTTGGATGTCTCCACCGTTAAGCATTCGCCAAAGTTATTACACTTCATCCTGACGGGTGGAGATTATTCACTTAAAACCAAACATGTAAACTTGCTTGCAGGGCTCCAGGAAAAGGTCAGAGGACCAATGAAGTCATGGAAATTCATCCACAAAGGACCATGAATATGTGTTTGTTAATGCAGCGAGCACCGGATGCTGGTGGCGAGCAGACATCAGAACTGGGCTCAGTTAACAGGACCGCTAGCAGCAGAGCTAACTTAGCTAACACTTGGCTGTTATCGGTTACTTTAGCAAGTAAAAGTAAAGCTATATATTCCCATCAGGAACTTCAGACATTTACTGGGAGTTGAGGCAGAGTCGGAGGACGACATCAGGGGGAAAACCAGCACATATTTTCTACATTAAATATGATCCAGTTTCACCTAAATCCAAACTAATTCTGGTCTCAAATCCAGTCCCCACATCGATATTGTCCCCAACTCGCTGCACGGCTAACGGAGATAACCTCTTGCACATGGTCCTCTGGAGGTGTAATAAACTAACTCACTGGCACCTCCGTTGTGTTTGCATGCAGGCCGATACCTCAAAATCTAAACTATCTGCATGTTTGTGTCATAACTTCGGTGAACTGACCCTTTAAGGACTGTTTGTGGACCCGGGATGGGGGGGGGGGCTCTTCACAGGATTCACGCCAGTTCCCACGACAGAGCCGAATGTCTTCAGCGTTCCTTCTGTCTTATTTCACTCTTTCAGAACTGCTCTTGAAAGTGTGGTCTGACTCTGAGTTGTGTCATTCAAGTTTCATAACCTTTAACCCCTCCCTCGCTCCTCACGCACTCTTTCTTCACGGGGTTTTCTTTTTGTTTTTTTGAAAGAATGTGAAACATCCAAACATTTCCTGCAGAGGATTTCACAGCAGATTGACTTTGGCCACCACTTGCTTGCAGCCAGTCTGGGAATATTCATGCCCCCCCACCGCGGGGTAATACTCAATCTCCCCCGCGAGGCGCTCTATGTTGGTATGATCCGGGTAGAACCCCTCTCGAGTCATTTCGTCCAGGAAGCACTCCATCACGTGACCTTTCTCCAAAAGGCTCAGAGGTAAGATGTCCGCCTCTGTCCACAGGAGGTGAAGCTTCTCCAGAGTGTTGCGTAATATGGGAGTCAGCTCTTTCACCAGGTTACTATGGCGACCGGATGCTGAAATACTTGAGGAGTTGTGCAGCATGTGTTTGGTGATGTGCGCGTGACCCAGGTTGCTCAGGAACAGGTAGATGGCGTTCAGGTACTCGTTGGACTGTTTGGACGCCACGAGTTGCTTCAGCGCGTCCAGGATCTCGTCGTGCATGTGCTCGGCCTCGTCGAAGATGAAGAGCGGGATCTTCTCCTCCTCCTCGGCGCGTTCCACCATCTCCGAGATGAGAGCGGAGAGGTTGCGGGCGCACTGCAGGGCGTCGGCCTCCTGGGGACAGTGGTGGAGGACGTAGTACTGCAGCACCAGCGTCTCCCCCACCACGGAGCGGAAGTGTCCGGCCAGGAGGCGCCCCAGGTGGCTCTTTCCCACGCCGCTGGGGCCGTGCAGGGACACCACCAGGGGCTTGTTGTGGACGTAGGTGGACAGGTAGTCCTTCAGGTGGGACAGCAGACCCTCCACAGCTCCCTGCTGCCCGAACACCTCTCTCCTCAGCGTCTTCTCCAGCCCCTCCAGGTCGTACCTGAGAACGTGGTCGTCCAGGTTCTCGATGGCGTTGTACACCTGGAAAGAAAACCAGTAGATGTCAATAAAACTGAACATGTTTTTCCAGTATCTTCATAGTTCTTGGAGCTGCTGCGTCAATTGTTTTGGGTCTTTTTTCCAGATGTGAGCAGCTCCTTGATATTCTTTGTACATTGTGAGAGAACAGGGCTCCAACTTTTTTTCCAGGACCTTTTCCAGGACAGCACTTGCTCACAAACGCTCATATAATTTACCGGCTGCTGTAGGCTGCCTTCTATTGATACGTTTTTACTGCGTTTTAATTTTAATTTACACTAAAATACAATTTAAAAACTTCCCAGAACACAGATTATTTGCAGGATAATCTCCTGGTGTTTCTATGACTGGAAAACTTGTCTCTAAATTTCCAGGTTTTCCAGGACACACGGAAACAGACACACAGTAAGTATGTGTGTCTGTTCCTGTGTGAACAGATCACACATTAAAAAACCTCTTCAGAATAAATATAGATCAAATATAGGATCAATTGTACTTATTCATAATAACACTTAATATCATGGTTTGTAATTGTTACTTTCACTGACTCTAAACTACGGATGAATAATCCTCTCATTTTGTCCTGATATTTACAGTTTTTTGTTGTTTTTTTGTTTTGTTTTCATCACATTTGGTTTAATTATACTGTTATTTTATTAAATGTAATTGTGTATTTAATACTTTAAGTCACTGAGGACGCACTTAAAAACAAAAAGGTACATCTCAAGGGGTTATTCCTAATAAAGATTTGAGTCTCAAATAAGATAATAAAATTACTTTAGTGAGGTATAAAGCAGCATTTTCAGTGTCATGTTCAGAACTTTTTTACATTTCCCAGTCCATTTGTTTCCTAATGCAAACTGTCTCTGTAATCTGTACAGACAGTCTTTGTTGTTGCACTGCAGAGGGCAACAGGCGGTGTTTTATTTTCCGCTCAGCTGCTGACATTAGCAAACTGGAAATAACAAACGGCAGACAACAATCACGCCGGATTAAGAACCCACGAGGCATAAATGATCTGTAAATGAGCCAAGACTCTCACTGAAGACTAGTTAATGATCTGAGGCTTGAATAACAACTGTTTATTTTTATTAATAGTCTGAATGAACACTAACATGACCGAGCACGTAGACAGTTGAGTGTATATTTGATCCATCACAGTCACAATACAAATTCCTCTCTAGGGTTGGGGAAGTTAATTCGGGCTGAGCTCATTTTGGTTTCTTTTTGTGTTAACAGACAGTTGTGGGCATGACTGCCGGTGTTACGAGTTATGTTTGAGCAATATAATAAATGTACCTGTGGCGTCACAAATGGATTCAGCAACCTCAACAACCCCCAAAAACTCTCCAATATTGTCCAACCTGGCCAAACAGTGGCTGAAATATTGTCCACTAAAGTGATTATTAATGCTAATTACGCTTATTGTATTTCACCTGGATGAAGACGATGGCGAAGAGCAGGTAGAGGCAGTACTTGGCTCGGCTGCGCTCCTGCTTCGGCGGGGCCCTGCAGCCTCCTCCGTTGGGATACAGCACCCGTTTCCTCCTCCTCCTCTTCTTCCTCTGAGGGACGGAGGACGACAGGGAGGAGAAGGCGGAGGGGGTGACTCCATCGAAGGTGAAGATTTTGGGGCTGGTTCGAGCCGGGGCCCCTGTGAGGGTCCCGACTCCCGCCAGGCCCAGGGCCAGCTCCTGGCGCCGCTTCTTTATGGCCTGGTACTTCTGCTTGATGCGTATGACGGCGCGCAGAGACGAGGAGAAGCTGGACAGACTGGGGACCGGACTGGCCCTGTGTTTGTCATCTTTTTCTCCTTCGCCCTCTGCCTCTTCATCCATCTCTTCATCCATCTCTTCATCCATCTCTCCCTCAAACTCCTCCTCTGTTTGAGACGCCGAGGCGCTGCTGTCCTGGTCACTCATCTGCAGAGAGAGAGAGAGAAACCAGTCATAATCAATATTTTTTATATTGTATATAATAACAATATTATCTGTGTGCTCGGGCTTATGGGAAATGTAGTACGCAGGGCCGGTTGCACAAAAAGATCTGAGTTAAGGTTTCCTTAAGATGTTCTTTCTCCTTATCTTGGTTTTAAATACTTAAAGAAATGATCAGTTAGTTAAACCTCATAGGAAATAAACGTAAGGTACCTCTGCCTCCATCTAAGTCTTAATTTAATTATAATTCAAGAAAATCCTGTAATAAATGATAACTTTTAACGCACATTACAGTCTTAACATGAAGGTGGCATTAGCCTGCTTCGTTAGCTAAGAAGGCTATAAATGTTAGTTACTGTTGCAGTCTAGAGTCTAAATCTATAGCTTAAATATTTTAATGTTTAATTTGTTAGAAGAAGATGTTATCTTTATTATGAACAACTTAAGATTTCTTTCACTGTCGGCCATATCATAGTTAGTTAAATTTTACATACCGTAAAACTTCTAATAATAGCCGTTTATTTGCTTAAATCACTGAACTCCCCCCCCGCCTTTATCTAGGGACAGGCCTTTATTTGAGACAGGCCTCTATTTGGGACAGGCCTTTATTAGGGACAGGCCTTTATTTGGGACAGGCCTTTATTTGGGACAGGCGTTTATTAGGGACAGGCCTCTATTTGGGACAGGCCTTTATTTGGGACAGGCCTTTATTTGGGACAGGCCTCTATTTGGGACAGGCGTTTGATTCCTTTAGCACAAAAATAAACTAAACTCTAACTGCTGCTTCTCTTGAGATTTTGTTCAGCAAATCTGACAACTAACATGATGATTATGATGCTTCAGAGGTTTTTTCCGTCTCTCTTGTTTACCGTGTTACCGGTAAGTCAGCATGAATTAACGTTACACTTTGTTGTTGATAGTTTTCGTAGAATATACTGAACGATTGAATCTATAACTGATCTAATGATGTACATACTGACAAAAGTTTAAACATTTATATTTGTGTAGGAGATTGAAACAATTTAAAACTCGCTCATCCAAATCCAGACCAGGCCTCTATTGGAGACCTGCGTTTATTTGTCAAAACGTGTAGCCACGCCAGGCTTTTAAAAGGGACCTGCGTCTATTAGGGACCCTGCTTTTATTGGAAGTTGTACGGTATTTAAACGTTGATGGTGCCCAGCCACCAAAGCAACATCAGCCATGATGGCCACATAACAAATGAATCAGGTTTCTTCATTTGGATTCTTTCAAACAGTTTGTTCCTCACGTCATTGTACAACGGGGCAGTGAAACAGAAAATTAAATCCATCCTTAATAACACGAAGATCACAAAGATCACATTAAAGCTGCTCTTCAGGGAAACCTTTATACCTCAATGACCAGTGCCAGTGGCAGTAGTAGCTCTAGTTTAATTATATTTATATCACACTGCAGATTGTTCCTGAATACAAAGTGTAAATCCGAAAGAGAAATTATAGCAGAGCACATACACATTCTTGGAAACAAGATGTTTCTACCTTTATGGTTAACCTCTGCTCTCTGCGAACTGAGCAAACCGCTTCCACAGCCCAACTATTTCACATCGCTGCTTTATAAAACATGACTCCCAAACCTCATGTCACCTTCATGTTAAGTTTGTTTTACCAGTTTTGTTGGATTCTTTTAGGATTAACATGTCATATGGAATAAATCCTGTAATAAATTATAACTTTTATAGCACATTACAGTCTAAATGAGGCAGCCTACTTCCTTAGTTACCTAGGCTATAACGTTAGCTACAAGTGTCTGAGGTCTATTCGAAACCACCTACTAAATCTACCACGTAGTATGCAGTAGCTAGACTATATCGTAGTATAAATATGCACTTTAATGTGTACTGAAATCAACCATAAATAACTTGCTAGAAGATGTTATCTTTAACTTCTGTCACTTCTGATTTTCCTTTACCGTCAGCCATAAAGTGTAACCTTAACGGCTACTTAAGCTCTAACTTCAACCCTTTGTGGTCTGCTGGATGTTTGACCTGTTACCTGTCAGGTGTGTCAGTTGTTACCTGTGAAAAAAATGAATCACTAACCCAATTTGAGTATCACAATATTAAAGTAATGTAATTTCATTACTTTTTGTTACATATTTAAATGTTTTTCAAGGTTCACACACCTGGAAATGTAGAGAAATTGATTAAAATGAGCCAATACCCTGAAAATAATCCATATTTTAATTTAAATTTTATAATCTGCGCCACTCAAAAGCCTGTCTGCAAACAATCTTTGAGTGTCAAGAAAAAATGTTTCAATACTTGCCCCTAAAATTCCTCGATTATTACTCATATATTTTATATATTATTTTATATTAATCTGTCTTTTTGCAGTGTTTTAGAACCATTCATTTTACCTCAGCTTACTATCTCGCACATCACAGTTTAGCTCGTATTTTACGTAAATCACATTTCAATAATCTCCTAATTTAAGCATTTTCATGTGAAATTTTGTAGTATTTTTATATGAATATTGTGTTTTTTATATAATTATAGCAGTGATTCCTCTGTGCACCATTGGGGGCAGAAAACTTGAGGTGTTTTTGAGCTTTACCACATTAAAGTGTCATATTTCACCCTCTACTGTATCTAAATGTATTTCTTTACATTTTTGTCTCTTGGAAGTTTCTTAACTTTCTAATGCTACGATATTATTCTGCTGTAGTACCAGTGTTAATCTATAAATACTGTCACAATTCAACAACTTGCACCTTTATTTTTGATGCCAAAAAAAAGACTCAGCTGCAAAACAGGAAAAGAAAAACTTTCCTTCCTCTCATGCTATCAAACCATTAATTTCTCAACACCAGCGACACCCACGCTTAGTGAGGCTGGTACTTGTAACCACAGACAGATGTTAAACTGCGATGTCATGCTGTCACTTGCTGCGCGGTATGAGGCTGACTTCTCATACCTCGGCACGTAGGTTGGAGCTGCTGGGGGGTCTAAGAGAGGAGGAGTGTGAGAAATAGTTGCCGGTGAGGCGGCTATTTCCTCTCGTCTGACGGTAAAGTCAGTGTGTTGCAGCAAGAGGAGTAAAATAACTAGAATTAAGGAAGTAACGCCAGTGAAGCAAAACGAAAATAGTTCCAGATATATGACAGCAGTGAAGAAAACGATGAGAGGATTCTGGGTAAACTGATAAGATATCTTTATAATGTTTTGATAACATCTCTGATATCACATCTCTCTGTTTCATCTTCTCTTTTTGTTATTTTACACCTTAATCTGATCAGTTTATTGCTGCTTCATAGACTTCCACGCTTACATAACACGGCCTTCCAGGCACAGATCTCCTCTTCCAACCCACCACGTTGATTTCCCTCCAGCAAAATATTCAAATCAAGTGAAAAATACTCTGGAAACGTTCGTGCAGAAAGAAGGAAGTGCGATCCATTCAGGAACATTCACCACCTGTGTGGATGTGCACACAAGTGAGAGCATTGTAGCAGCTTTTGCATGCATCATATACGCAAAATCCCCTTCAATTACATTATTTATGGGCTTTTTTTTCTGCAACTCTTGACTTAATTAAACACTAAAGTTCATGCATCTTCAAATGATTCACATTCTTCAAGTTTAGTCTGCAAAAAGATCCGTTTAAGACTCTAAATGTGAAATCAAGAGGGGTGTTTTATAGCACATAGTGTGACTTTCAGGAGGTTGAAAGAAAAAGGAAGAACTATCGGTTACACCCAGAGGTTGGGTCAACAACTTCAAGTTAACACAATCAATACTCAGACGCCTCTGTTGCTGGCAGGAGGAAGAACAGCTTTGATCCCGATGAGAAATGAGCACAGTGTTGAGCATTGTGTGACTCTGAGCTGGAGCTGGATATTACTCTTGGCTCAGATGAAGGTAAAGTTATAAAACTCACGTCAGAGCCTCTTTTACTTCAGCACAAAAGAATCTAGCACAGCATACACAGGGGAGAGAGAGAGAGAGAGAGAGAGAGAGAGAGAGAGAGAGAGAGAGAGAGAAAGAGAGACACTATCAGTGCTTTATCTTGTCTTTTCACATGCAGGGGCCTGAAGGACCGGTTGCATACCAGGAATTTTAGAGCTCTTTAGCACTTTGATGATATTTACTGTGCTTAAAAAAACAAACAAAAAAACATTTCTTCTCTGATTTAGCTGCAGAAACATTCAAAAACTTCCAGCTGAGAATGAAACACAGGTTGCAGGTTTAAAGCGTGTGTAACAGTCTATAAATGAAGCTTTTTCTTGTGTGTAGACAGGTACTGAGTTACTACCTCACACCCAGCTGCACACACATAACTTCACCCTGCAGCCTGTGTGTGTGCAAAGCAGAGCAAAGGAGAGGAGAGGAGAGGAGAGGGGGAAATGGTTGAATGAAAACTGAGAGAAAACACACAAGAAGAAAAAAAAAAAAGCAGTTTTCTTACCGTCAATGTAGCTTAAATGCTTCTAAAGAGACTTTTTCTGTGTAGGTCTAGTCCATAGTTTTGGGAGTGGAGGAAGGAGAGAACAGCCCCACACAGCAAAGCAAGCTCAACTCAGGAAGGGCCCTCCTATCTGTCTATCTTACCTCCAATTCCTGTTCTCAACCATCTGCAGGCTCCTCCTCCTTCATTCTCACTCTTCTGTCCAGTTTCTGCTTTTTTCAAAGACACATAATACACCACGTCAGGTTTATTTCACAGCCACTCAGTGTTGGGTTTTTAAAAAACAGCCCGGATCCAGGTTGAGTGCTCGCTTTTTCTAATGGTGTTTAAAGGTGGAAATCAAATCCTAACTTCAAAACCCCCAACATTAATTTATGAATTAAACAATTAAACGTACCTGTATGATCGTATTAATGAACAAAAGAGGGTATCGTCATGTTCTGAGATCTAATTTTAGCTGATTTTATTCTTAATTTGTTCATAAAATGTTCTTATTTGCTGTCAAAATGTTCCTTTAATCTGTGTAAATGTCTGCCGGGTCTAAAATCCAATCATCAGAGTTTTGAGGCCTTAAAATGTCTATAATATGATTTCAATAGGACTTAAAAATTGATTGGATTAAATGTGTTTTGGGGAATAAAATGTGCATTGATCACTCGGTAAAAACTGAACCCATTTCCCGTCACATCCTTTGTACGTCGTTGCCAGTATGGCCCCTACAAAGGTCTGAAACTGCATTCATAATGGTTGTAAATAGGTCAAACCTGCAGAAACAATGCTAATCAAAGGATGTGACGCTGTGGTCGCTGAATTGACATGATTAATCACAAAAGCAGGTTGGATGATCTAATCACGAATATATCCGTTTTATGTATCATGGGGCCTTTTTAATGGAGTGGGTTTGTTTAGGCATGCTAGCTGTGTCACCAGAGGTTCATGTTCCTCAGAGGATGAACTATAAACTCTTCATCTACCAGATTCATCAGGTAAACACTGAGTTTGTCCAATATTTGACCAATTAAACGAATGACAACCTCAGCTGCACTTTGTTTACTGCTAATGAATTCTTTATTAGGGATGAATTTGGGATGAACCATCTCGTTCTCAATGGGGTCCTCAACAACAGAAAGTACACAACTAAACAAAAAATAATTAAGTATCAAGGCGAGATCTAAAGCTAAACTAAGACTGCGAACACCGTAAACATTATACCTAACATGCTGGTGTGTGGCTATAGGTTCACAGAGCTGCTTCATCGTGTTACAGTCGTATGGTTGCTTTTAGTTGTGTGTGTGTGAGCTGAATGCCCCCTAATGAATGTAATTAGAGTAAAAACACTGATATTGTGCCATCGGCATGTTAAAATGTGACAGAATTAAGAAACTGGGTCTTGTAGATTGAGTTGAATATAGACTTTTGTAGCGTAATGATTTCAACCCTAATAAAAAGACTGAATGTGAGGAGTTTGTCTTCTACGACAGGAAACGGTGACATTGTTTAAATAGCTGTCATACTATGTCATACCACAGTTGTGTGGGTGTACGACTGACTGTAAAGGTCATATAAAGTTATGAATAGAAAACCGAGAGGTGTGGAGGTTTTTGCATACTCATTTGATTACTACTGATCATTTACCTGATTAGGCTCAGTTACTAACTGCTTTGTAGATTCAGATTATTAATGCGAAACATATTGATGTGGCTCAATCAAGCTTGGTAGCTCACATAAGTCAATACTTATATAATACAGTCATATAATATGGGCCATTCTGTATAATGAACCCTTGGATATTTCAACTATATTTTGATGATTTTGAATGCAGGACTTTTACTTGTGTTGATTCTGGCGCCCCCTGTGGACAGAAGTGGTAGTGTTTGTAATTGATTTAAAGGGGAATCAAACTGTATAGAAACAGACAATCTTCTCTCTGAGGGTCTTGTTTGTTTATGTAGCTCATATTGAGGCATCAGGATGAAGTTGAGACTGTTTTATAACCAGTTAAAAACTCATTGTAGGTTTAAGTAACAGATCTGAGTACTGCTTCCACTACTGCGACTAAATATTTTAAAATAAAGCTTACTACACGCTGTACCTCACATACATGATTAAACTGATACCTACCAAAACCAGATTACCTCATATTTGGTATTAAAGGACCAGCAAACATTGCAGGAGGCACATAGGAGGAGGTGTGTAGGATTTAGTGGCATCTAGTGGTGCAGTTGCAGATTACAACCCTCTCGTCTCACCCTCCCGTTCCAAGTGTGCAGGAGAAACTACGGTGGCCAAACATGATTAAACACTAATAAAAACGTACGTATTAATATCATATTCCAGTTCTGCCTCAGTGTTTCACGGACAGTGACTAATGCTCCATGGTGTGAAAAGGATGAGACGGTATGAAGACAAGAGCTTGAATCATCCCTCAGCGTATTTCTCTGTACACAGTTTACTTCCAACAAGCTGCTGTGAGTAAACTGTTAATGTAGTAGGAAGAGGGGGGTTAGTCACACACAGGACGGCAGCCTCGGGGCAGATGTGGCAGTTTGTGACTACAGCAGTTACACTAACAATGAAAGCTGCCCTTTGATGCTACAGATATAGTAAATTTGTATTTTTAGCACCGTGCAGAAGGTGCAGGTTACTGCGTCATTCAGCAGCAATCTGACAACCCAGCGACATTATGGAAGGCTGGAGGACGACTCTGAACTGAAATTGAGATTTAATAGCAAAAAAAAAAAACCCCAAAAAAACTAGAAATAGTGCTGTCCAGTTAGGATGTTTATCAGTCAGCTGCACACACACGTGCTTGTGGACACACACATCCTTTTTCACTCGTGTAGTTGTTGTAAAAGCACAAACTGCTTTCTCTTTCTCTCTCCTTTTTTTGCCGAGAGTTAGGTTCTAGAAAAATGATCCCTCGTTCGTATCGGTCGGTTTAAAAATGAAGCTACAGCCAGGAGATGCTTAGCTTAGCTTAGCATAAAGAGCAGACACAAGGAGGCAGAGCCAGGCTAGCAGTTTACCCTCGTTTCCAGTCTTTATGCTAAGCTAAGCTAACTGTACCCTTGCAGTAAAGTGGCATTGATCCTCTGAGCTACTGTTAATGATCAATAAAAGCACAAATACTTAAAAGAAAAGTGAATGAATTTGCTTCATCTCGTCTTCTTTTAGACCCCAGATCCCCCCCCAGGCTCGTACCTTTAAGGTCAATTCAATTCAATTTTATTTGTATAACGCCAATTCATAACAGAAGTTATCTCAGGACACTTTTCAAATAGAGCAGGTCTAGACCGAACTCTTTAACATTAATTACAGAGACCCAACAGTACCACCATGAGCAAGACCTTGGAGACAAGGGCAAGGAAAAACTGCCTGTTAAAAGACAGAAACCTAGGACAGATCCTCCGGCTCTAGGTGGGTGGTCTCGACCAGTTGGGGTGAGAGAGAGGGAGAGAGAGAGAGAGAGAGAGAGAGAGAGAGCGAGAGACAGACAGACAGACAGGTGCACAGCAACAACAGTATTGGCAATGGCAATCTAGCAGGACCATGGCAGGAGGCTCCACCAGGATCGACAAGAACCTGCGAGACGAGAAAGCACAAGAACTCCGGGGAAGAAGTGAAGTTAGTAACATGCATTAAAGGGACATGAATGAGTGCAGAAAGAGAGAGGAAGGGGAGGAGCTCAGTGCACCATGGGAAATCCCCCGATAGTCTAGGCCTATAGCAGCATAACTAAGGGATGGTTCAGGACTCACCTGATCCAGCCCTAACTATAAGCTTTATCAAAGAGGAATGTCTTAAGCCTACTCTTGAATGTGGTGAGGGTGTCTGCCTCCCTGAACCACAACTGGAAGCTGGTTCCACAGGAGAGGAGCTTGGTAACTGAAGGCTCTGGCTCCTGTTCTACTTTTAGAGACTATAGGAACCACAAGTAGCCCAGCATTCAGAGAACGTAGTGTTCTAGAGGGCTAATAGGGTACTATGAGCTCTTTAAGATATGAAGGGGCCTGACCATGAAGAGCTTTATAGGTGAGGAGGAGGATTTTAAATTCTATTCTACATTTTATAGGGAGCCAATGCAGAGTAGCTAGTACAGGAGAGATGTGATCTCTTTTTCTAGTTCCTGTCAGTACTCGTGCTGCAGTGTTCTGAATTAATTGGAGTGTTTTAATGGACTTATTGGGGCAACCTGATAATAAAGAGTTGCAGTAATCTAGCCTTGAAGTAACAAATTGCATGGATTAGTTTTTCTGCACCTGTCTGTGATAGTATGTGTCTAATTTTTCTAATATTACGTAAATGAAAGAAGGCAGTCCTAGAGGTCTGCTTTGTGTGGGAGTTAAATGACAAATCCTGATCAAAGAGAACTCCAAGATTCCTGACAGTGGTGCTAGAGGCCAAGTTAATGCCATCTAGAGTAACTATATCTTTAGACAGTGAGTCTCTAAGGTTTTTGGGGCCAAGAACAAGAATTTCGTTTTTTTCTGAGTTTCAGTCATCCAGGATTTTATGTCCTTAAGACATGTTTGTAATTTAGATAATTGATTAATTTCATTGGGCTTGATTGATAGATATAACTGCGTATCATCTGCATAACAGTGAAAGTTAATGGAGTGATTCCTAATAATGTTGCCTAAAGGGAGCATATATAAAGTAAATAGTATTGGTCCAAGTACAGAACCTTGTGGAACTCCATGACTAACTGTAGTATTTATTGAAGATTCATCGTTAACATGTACAAACTGCGAGCGATCTGATAAATATGACTTAAACCAGCTTAGTGCGGTTCCTTTAATGCCAATTTGATGCTCAAGTCTCTGTAAAAGAATATTTTGGTCAATGGTGTCAAATGCAGCACTAAGATCTAATAAAAGTACAGAGACAAGTCCATTGTCAGAAGCAATCAGAAGGTCATTATTAACTTTAACCAGAGCTGTCTCTGTGCTGTGATGAACTCTAAATCCTGATTGAAAATCCTCAAATAAACTATTGTTATGTAGAAAGTCACACAACTCTTTGGCGACTACTTTCTCCAGAATCTTAGAGAGGAAGGGGAGGTTAGAAATCGGTCTATAGTTGGCTAAAACCCCTGGGTCAAGAGTGGGCTTTTTAAGAAGGGGTTTAATTACAGCTACTTTAAAGGACTGTGGTACATATCCTGATAATAAAGAAAGATTAATCATATCCAGTAAAGAAGTGCCAATTAAGGGAACAACTTCTTTAAGCAGCCTAGTTGGGATCGGGTCTAATAGACAGGTTGATGGCTTCAATGAAGAAATGATTGAAGTTAACTGATGAAGATCGATAGCAGAAAAACAGTCTAAATATATATCCAAGTTTACATTGGCAGAAGTCCCTGAACTGAAGGTCAGAGGTCACTGCAGTGTTTTCAAAATACGCTGTGAGATCGTTGCTTTGTATACAGGACAGATGTACAGACTCACACAGGTAGAGGTCAGAGAACGTGACCTAGATCAGTAGATCTTTAACTTATGGAACAGTCTCAGTCTAATACTGAAGCCTCTGTATGAGCTACATAAGCAGGGTTTTGTTTTCTTTCATAAAATGTTTCCAGGATATTTAGTGATTTGAATCATTTTCCAGGTTTTCCAGGTCATGTGGGAACCCTGGTTTCATCCACAAGAGGCAGATTCGAGATGCTGTTCAGTGTAGTTGGAGGAGCCTTTTAATGTTGCTGCTGATCAATATGGTTATGTATATAACCGTGTATAACTAGGGCTGCCACTAATTATTATTTTTATAACCGATTAATCAGAAAACAGTTAATAAAAGCCTTTCACCATTTCTCAGAGCCCACGGTGAAAATCCCTCAATAGTCAAGGATTTAAGGTTATTTTATTTACAATGAAACGCTGCAGGATAAAACTCACATATAGTCCCCTTTATACTTATTTTTAAAAAAGCTAGTCTGGTGGTACGACAGCAGAAGCTTCTGTTTACTTTATTAAACAGATTATTCATTTCATTTTCTGTTATTTAAAGACAAGAATAAACAGCTTTATAATAATAATAATATAAACAAATAGATTAGATCTTATTATTTATAAGTGCTATCTTTATGTACGTGATGGATTGATGCTCAGTTCGGTTTCAGTCCAGCGTTCAGGTGAAGAGCTGCCTCAGGTGTTGGGGGGGGGGAGGAGTCCTCAGCTGTCAGTCTGTCGTAGATTATTTATTACACACTGAAGCTCCGCCTTAATTTGCAAACCAAATGGTGTTTATTTTCCTCCTAAACGCAAATGTGTGGATTTCTGTATCCGATTCATAATTACTGTTTGTTCTCTTTAGTGGAGCTGCTTCCTGGCAGATACAGTAACACCCTGTGGTCCTCGTACCCCTGGCTGGGAACCTCTGACCGAAAGTTAAACATGCTTCCTGCTCCTCCCTAAAAGGCCTCCCTGTCTCTGGACTTTCCAACACCAGACGGAGCAACCGGGCGGCTCAACACCTCCCCTCCCTCCCGCTCACTGAGTGCCTCGGAGAAATAACGTTCAAAGGAAGACAAAGGTTTCAGCGTTTTACTTAAGAATAGACAAAAATTTAGTTTTTGGGATTTATGACGAAACTTGGTCATAATTCTCCTTTACACAAAGCAAACATTCATCTACCAGCTTCTCCTTGTCTCTCACGTAAAAGGAAAACTTTTACATTTTAAAGGAATATAAAGACGTCAGACAGACCTTGATAAGAAGAAGTACTATTACAGGGGTTAGACTCGGCACAAATGAACAGAATTTTGATCAAATAAATATCATTCATGACCAAAATAGATTTGTTTTTAGATTTGGAAATAGCAGAATAGATTTACATCACACTGGTGGAAATATTTGGAAAGCACAAAGCTTGCAGTCTTTAAAGATTCAGCGATCCACCCACATTCTCCTCGTCTCCTCCCGTGGAAGCTACGTTGAGTTAGGGTGGGAAATTGTGCAGGTAAATAACATCACTATTTACGCTTTCTTCAAGAAGCTGAGCGTCGTCACTCCTCCTCCTCCTCCTCCTCCTTCTTCAAGTGCTTTCTGGAGAGCCACAACGATGCAGACACACGTTTAACAGAAAGAAAGGAGTGCCATAAACGTGTCCACCCTGAGGCAGCGACAGTTTCTAGCAGTTTCCAGGAGATTGTAACCCGCTGCCTACTTCCTCTTCCTGCCCCGGCCTCTCCTGCCTCTGCCAGAGGACGGGCCCGCTCCGGCCGGGTTGTCCGACGGGCTGGCCCCGATGTTGATCTGTCCTTCTTGGATTTCGCTGCGGGCCTCCGGAGTGAGGTGTTCGATCTGCTGCTGCGTCTCCAGATAGAACATCACGTCTCTCAGCTGCTCCTGAAGCTCTCCGATCGCCATGTCCTTACGCTCGCCTGCAGCACAACACCGCACAGTGAACACGTCTTAAACACACTTTAAAAGAAGCTTGTTAACTTCCACATACGAATAATAAATCTTTTAAACACAGTGACTCATTTCCACATCCAGCAGTTACAGAGAGACATGATCATTCACTTGCAGTCCTGTTTGTGTCCACCTGATGAATTTAAATCCAACAGAGAGAAAGATCTTTAGCTGCTAAATGCTCCACCGGTGAGCTTTAAAGAGCTTTCTCTCTGAAAGCAGCTACCTGGCTGAAACAACGCAATGAGAGCGGTGAGAGGGAACCAGACAGACAAACAATAGTCGTGTTTCCATCTAACTGTCTGATCTGAAGCAAACTTTTGAAATGTCACTAAAAAACAGTTCTGAAGTGAACATTAGAATAGAGCGTCGTTTTCTCTGACGTTTGCACTACAGGCTCCGTTACAGTGGCGACATGCAGCAGCTTTTTATAACTTTATGAGATATTTGTATTTATGTACTTTATTTATTTAGTTGTCTATTGTTTACTGTCCGCCGATGTTGATGATGTATATACGGCTGGCTGTATAACAAATTGCCCTTTAGGGATAATAAAGCTACCCTTGAACCTTGGACAGTAATAAACAGTAGAAGAAGAAGAAGAGGTCAACCAGAAGCAAAACCAGTCGTTCGCCAACTGCCAATAAACCTCAAAGAGAGGAAGAAACAAAACCAGTCGCTCAGAAGTCATCAGTCATGAGATTTAAATGTTCGCTACGTATCTGAACAAGTGTTTCCACCCTAACCGACCGATATTGATTATAGACCCTTTAACGCATCATAACGAAGCCTCAGCCAATCACTGATGGATGCACAGCTCCCTTAACCTGTAAACCAAAGATATGCTCCCAGACTCCAGTGTGTAACGTACTATAGGATGTATACAACCACTGGCGGCCTCAGGGCACAGCTGTGTGAACTTCCTGTCTGCACACCAGAGACTGACATAAACATTTAGACCTACAAGGACTGAAGCTGTGTGGGAGAAGAAACCCCGTACAAGCAATAACAATCCTCATCTTCATCTTCATAATGATGAATAATAAATAAAAATGGTTGCCACAGATGAGCTGGTGTAGAGTTTCTCTGCACACTCCTGTTGACTGTCAGACAGCCACAGGATGTGAGATAGACAAACGTCAGCACAGAGAGCACGGACAATGTTAGCAGCTTGGCTGAAGGGATGAAATATTGGTAGCACTTTAGTCCAGACCAGGGATCAGCAACTTCTACTATAAAAAAAAAAGACAGAAAATCTGTCAGGAGCTGTTAAACGTATTAAATGTGATCATTTCTGTTTTGGTCTGTCCACGAACTGTTAAATTCTCTCTCTCTTCTTGTTTTTGGATTTAAAAAAAGAAAGTTCTAGCTACACCGATACGGAGTTTCAGCAAAATATAGAGGGAAAGGTGGTCAGGAGGTAACATGATGAACATTTTAGTTGAGGAAATGTTAGAATATTTTTTTAATTCTCTGTGTATTTGCACATTTTTTACAATTGGAGAATGTTAATAATGATAACGATATACAACAATGATAAATGGAGAAAAAAAAGCTGCAGGTTGCCTGAGACTGAAATAACTCTGTTGGATGGGTTTCCATGAAATCTGATACAAACACTGATGTTCATTATGAACTGTAAAAACTTGATTCATCCTTCGATTTCTCATCTAGCGCCACCATCTGGTCAAATGTTTAATTTTAGTTATATAATACATGCAAAACTAATAACGACCCATCAAGTCACAACAAGCTCTTAAAGAAGGGCCAGAGTCGCCTCCACCCGCTGAGGAGACTGTGGTCCTTCGGGGTAAGCAGGGCTCTCCTCAGGATGTTTGATGACTCTGTGGTTGCTTCAGCCATCTTCTATGCTGTGGTCTGCTGGAGAGGGGGCAGTACGGACAGGGACAGGAAGAGACTCAATAATCTGATCAGGAGAGCGAGCTCTGGACTCCGTAGAGGAAGTGGGTGAGAGGCAGCAGACTGTTACACCCTCGGTGTAAGAAGGAGAGGTTCATCCCTGCTGCTGTCAGACTCTATAACATAATAGCTGCTAAACATCAGCATGTTAGCATTATGATTGGGAGAATATTAGCATGCTGACGTCAGTGTATGTTTTATTTCTCTATAAGTCGTTATCTTAGTTAGAAATAAAGCTTTTTATTATTGTTGTATTAGCTTGAGTGTCGTAACCACGCAAACTACCAAATGCCAAACGCATGAGTGAAACCATAACATCATTAAACTAAACTAACAACACAAACACAGAGACACACACACACACACACACACGCACGCACACAAATTAGATAAGACTGGGTCACGTTAATAAACGTCAACAGGAAACTTGTGGTGATTCTAAAAAGACTCCAACAGGAAAGCACATATAGTGGCTGAGCTGCAGATGTGGATTAAACGTCTGAATGCTGCTCATCATAACAAGTGAAATGGCACAAACTTGTGTGTGTGTGTGTGTGTGTGTGTGTGTGTGTCTTCCACATAAACAGAGAGCACATGCACTGAGGGACATTTGTTTAAACAGTCCTCATCCTCCGAGCTGAGCGCTGAAGGAAAAATACAGGTATGTCTAAACTGAAGTCCTAAAATTTCCGTTCAAACCTCCGACTTGACATTTATGTTGCCCTCGGGCAGAGCGGGGCCTCAAACGTCCACATGCCTCTCGTGATGTTCCCGTATAAAAACACACACTTAAAGTGGTAGTGAAGAATCTCTTTTCCTGTCGGCCTTCACACACAAACAGGGTTGTCTGCCGAGGACTCTGCAGCGGTGGACTGAAGGTTCAGAGACTCCTCAGAAAGTTCTTGATGCTGACGTGTGATTTCTTCCGTCCTTCACGCGCTACAGTCTGCAGGGGCAATTTGTTTATGCTTTGCATATTTTACCGTATAAATGAGGAAGTACTCTACAGCAGAACAAAAATAACTTGTCTAGCTTCAGGTGCATAGGGCCGCTGCTATATGGGGGTACGGCCATGTTCTGTTCCTGTTTCTGCCAGCAGCAGACGAGCTAATGAGACCAGGGGTGTGTAGAGATGTGCCGAGCCGTTCTGGGCACATTCTGATGGATCAGTACTGGCTAAAATAAACCAGATCAAATTATTGAACTCTATGTTTTGTCCACCTCAGACTGCAACTGCTGCAACTCTACAGTGTGTTTTCTCTCCTCTCTCTCTCTTATCAGCAAAGTGTACATCACACTCTGATCACAGCTTCTTATTCTTAGCTGGCAGCAGATCGTATCAGCTCTTGTTAATTAGTGTTCATTCTGTGAGAAACAACGGGGTGAGAATGAAACTGCAGCCGCCCGGAGAATAACTGCATTCAATGTTCAGAACCTGTACCACCGCTGTACGACTGCAACAGGGAGCTACACCTTTCTCCAGTTAAAGGATCGGACTGATTGAGTTAAACTCTCCATCATATCCTATCAATAATTTCAGCTTAATAACTTTGTATTTTGACCCAGGACCTTCAGTATTTGGGTCAGTTAGTTTGTGACAAACAGGGTGGGCAAATGTAGACGACTCAGATACATATTTACTAAACATTTTTTAAGTATTGGATCAGATACACGGAGGACTTGGGTTTGACCGGGCTGTCCCTCCTGGCACTGTGAAGATATGGGCGTGTTAAAATGATCTATGTCTATATATCATCTCGGCAGAAGTAGGTACAAAAACAGTTAAATCCCCACCGTCTAACCGTTCTACCTCAAAATAACAGCTTCTCATAAAGTGAGTCACACACCACCAGCTCCAACTATGTCACTGACTTTGACTGAAACTGGATCAGATTTGATATTTTCTGCTTTTTCCCTCTCTGTGTTTAACTGACGGACAGTAAAGTAACTGCTAGTTAGCGGTGCCGTACCGCCCTGGACTCCTAGGACTGGGTGTGAGAGCACCGGGGGGAGAGCTGGTTGTTGACTCCCTGATTTTAGAAGGAATGTAATCAGAACAAATGCAACTGCAGTGTGAAGCTGCCCATATTTACAACAGAGACTCCTTACATCATGTTGGATGGTTTAGGTTTCGTTTCGTCGCCTCCTCCTCACTCACCGTTCTCTTTTCCTTTGCGCTCCTCGTCGGCCAGCTGGGACTGCAGCTGGACCTGATTGGCTCTCAGACAGCGGTTCATCTCCTGCTCCTCCTTCAGCTCTTGGCTCAACTTCGTCACGCGAGTTGTTAGCTGAGTGCACCTGGATGTACAAACACAGAGCTGTTGGCAAAGTTCTCCACAAAAACAACTCCTCCACACTCTTTAAATGCACTGGACTCCTTTTCTAT